CCCCAGCACTGTGAACCCCTTGCAGATTGTTAAATGTTCATGTTCTCACACCTACACACATGTGGATGTTAATTGGTTCATCTGGGATGCAATTTCATCTCTGTCCGCTAAATTTAAACTTTGGAGAGGTTTTGGATCTGTTCTTCTGTGAAGGGCTTTATTACCCCCTTGAAGAGCAACACAGCAAATGTGGAAACCAATGAGATACAGGCTCATGTAGCAGTTTCTCTAGGATTAGAACCTATTTTGGAGGAAAAGACTCAGGATGATCTAAGGGAGGTTAAACATCCCCTGCTGCTGGCTCAGAAGTGGACACTATAACAGTTTCAGGAAGTCCCTGAAGCTGACCAGATTCACTAGGCCCCTTACTTTTAAAGTCCCATAGATGCTCTAAAGACTGGTGGGAGCCACTCAGACAAGCTGAGCCGCCTGGAAAGCACTCCCAACATTCTGAGCAGCGAGCTCCAGCTTTTCAACTTTCATTCTGAGGTGGGATCTGGTGGTGCAACTATCTTTGAGCAGCGCAAGTTCCTGTAAGTAACCCCAATAATACTCATTGTTTCCCTTTCACTGCACATCTGCCGCCATGAGTATGCTCAGGCTACAGAAGAGGCTTGCCTCTAGTGTCCTCCACTGTGGTAAAAAGAAGGTCTGGCAGGGCGCTGGTGGTGCTCGCTTTAGTCCCAGCATTCAGGAGGCAGAAGCAGTCGGATCTCTGTGAGTTCGAGACCAGCCTGATCTGATCTACAGAGCTACTTCCAGGACAGGCTCCAAAACAATACAGGGAAACCCTTTCTAAGGAGAGGGAGGAGAGGGAGAGGGAGGAGAGGGAGAGGGAGGAGAGGGAGAGGGAGGAGAGGGAGAGGGAGGAGAGGGAGAGGGAGGAGAGGGAGAGGGAGGAGAGGGAGAGGGAGGAGAGGGAGAGGGAGGAGAGGGAGGAGAGGGAGAGGGAGAGGGAGGAGAGGGAGAGGGAGAGGAGTTTGGTTGGACCCCAATGAGACCAATAATGAAATCGCCAATGCCAACTCCCATCAGTGGATCCCGAAGCTGATTATCCAGAAGCCGGTCCGTGACTGTGCATTCCGGGCCGATGCATTAAAAACACTTTGGCTCTACAGAAGGGCAGGCATAGGGGTGTAGGGAAGCGGGAGTGTACCGCCAATGCGAGCATGCCGGAGAAGGTGACCTGGATGAGAAGGATGCGGATTCTGTGTCGACTTCTCAGGAGATACCGTGAATCCAAGAAGATTGACCGCCGTTTGTACCACAGCCTGTACCTGAAGGTCAAAGGGAGTCTCTTCAAAAACAAGTGAATTCTCCTGGAGCACATCCATCCACAAGCTGAAGGCAGACAAAGCTGGCAAAGGCACATGGCTGACAGGCTGAGGAGGTTCGCAGGTCTAAGACCAGGGAAGCACCAAAGCGCCTGGAGGAATGTCTCCCAGGCCAAGAAGGAGATCATCAGGACTCTGTCCAGGGAGGAAGAGACCAAGAAAAACAAACAAACAAAAACTCACTGGTTCACCAAGTTGGACTTGTGTCTGTCCGTAGTAAATTCCCAGACTGGGGTGAGATGTTTATCTGTCCCCAGGAATAGTGTCCCACACTAAGACCGTCCTCTAGTCTCTTGCTGTTTCATTTTATTCATCACTTATTTACACAAAGACTATTACAAAAGTGCAGATCTGGTCATGATTTTTTTTTTTTTTTTTTTTTTTTTTTTTTTTGCTCACATGCTTGACATATACTGAACATGGGAGGCTCCCAAGAGTCACCTCCTCTACCCCTGTCTTAGCTCCACTATGTACTTTGAACTGGGTGTGAGTCACGACAGGCTTTGTAGTCCCCCAACCTTCAGCTGCATGCGATCCCCGCCCCCCACTGTGCTGCATTAAGGCCCCGTCTAAATCCAATTCATTAATTACCTATTTCTGTTGGTATGAGCAGTATCTCACTCTCAAATCACTGGTTGTATTTATTATAATATATATATTTATATATGTATATAAACATACATATATATGTATATAAATATATATATATATATATATATATATATATATTAATGTTCTACTACATTCCTGTTTTTAAACTTTTTTTCTGAGACTGTCTCTCTACATAGGCCTGGTTTTCCTGGAACTTTACTACATAAACAAGGCTGATGGGAGATGTCATTCTGTAAATATGTTTTTCATACTGGCCAGTGAATAAAGCACTGTTGGCCAATAGGAAAGCAAGATAGGCGGGACTAGAGGAAGGAGTAGGGAGGAGTCAGCATGGAGAGTCTGGAGACAGCAGGACGCCAGCCGGCTCTCCGGTAAGATGAAAGCACGTGGAAATACATAGATCAACAGAAATGGGTTAATACTTAAGACAGAGCTAGCCGATAAGAAACTGGTACCTGGCCAACAGTATAATATCAAATACAGAGTCTCTGTGTGTTAATTGGTACAGGTGCGGCCGTGGGACAAGACCAGCGGTGGGCGGGGGGGAAAAACCTTACTCCTTACACAAGGCTGCCCTCAAACTCGCAGATCACATGTCTCTGCCTTCTGAGAACTGAGATTAACAGTATGCGTTACCACAAACTACTTTAGCATTTCAGTATCTTTTATGCTTTAAAACTTTTGTTTTGTTTTTGTTTTTGAGATGGACTTTTGCTGTGGTGACATCAGGCTTTGAACTCCTGGGCTTAAGTTATTCTCCTGCATCAGTTTTTCCAAGTGTTAAAATTGCAAGTGCATGGCATGACCACATGTAGAAGTCTGACATTCTTTTCACCGCTTTAGGCTTAAATATAGCTTGCTAAATGTCCACATATTTTTGTGTGGGGAAGTTTAAGACAGGATCTCACTATGTAGCCTGGCTGCATTGGGATTCACTATATGAAACAGGCTGGCCTCAAACTCACAGAGGTCCATGGATTAAAGGCATATGCTACCCTATATGTAATTGGTATGTCCTAAAGGCCAAAAAGTAGAAGAGGGGTTTGCCAAGAATGAAAGAAAAGTCAATGAATGGCATGGGAGAGAGGGCTCAGAGGCTGAGAGCTGTAGTAATATGTTATTATTAAAGCTTGCCTGAGGATTCAGAAAGCAAAGACAGGCACAGCCATAGAAGCCAGGCACACATCTTTAATCCCTGTAGCCAGAAACTAGGAGGTGGTGTTACACACCTTAATCCTAGGACTCCAGATTAAGAGGTAAACAGATCTCTGTGAGTCCAAGGCCACCCACATCTATACAAGAGTGAATCAGTCTAAAAGAGAATTATATCTTACACCTTTAATCCCAGCACTAGAGAGGAATAAAAAGCAGCAACAAGGATTCAGTATGAGGCATTCATTCTCCAGCTTCATTGAGGATGGAAAGATTCCTTCTCCAGCCACACTGAGGAGAGGCAGCAGTTTGAGGCTTGGTGAAGAGCTCATGCATGGATCAGCCCTTTCAGCCTGAGCTAAAGGTGAGAGCTAGTGGCTGGCTGATTTGCTTTTCTGATATTCAACTTGAAGTTCAAACCCCAATATCAGTCTCTGGATCTTTTATTTGTCGTGTTACAGAGAGCACAAGCTGCTCTCCCAAAGGTTTGACTCTCAGCATTCACACTCCAGTCCCAGGAGATCTGAAACCCTCTTCTGGCCTGTGTGGACACAGGCATGCATATGGCAGACATACACGCAGACAAAACACCCATATATATAAAATAAATAATTCAAAATGTGTATTAATTTTTTGTGTTTCTTTGGTTTTTGTTTTGAGACAGAGTTCTCTGTGTAGTCCTGGCTATCCTGGAACTTGATCTGCAGACCAGGCTGGCCTTGAACTCAGAGTACTGGGATTAAAGGCATGTGCCACCACCAATTGGCTGCACTTAAAAATATGTTAAACAACAGTGCATGACAATGAATATTCAGTAACTGTGAACACTCCCCTCCCCACCCTCCAACCTGTGGGTTGCAACCCCTTTGGGGCTGAAAGACCCTTCCACAGGGGTCATCTTAGATTACCAGGAAATACAGATATTTACATTATGAAGTATCAATGAAAATAATCTTATGATTGGGGGGTCACCACAACATGAAACTGTATTAAAGGGCTGCAGTATTAGGACCACAGCAATAGAACCTGGAAACTATTATAAAGCATATTCAGTCCTGCATAGTGGTACATTAGACTATAATGCCATCTCTGGGAGGTAGAGACAGGAGGATCTTGAGTCTGAGGCCAGCATATGCTACATGAGTCTGATTTTTTTCTTAAAAAAAAAAAAATCTCTGACCAGGTGTTCAGTTCATGGTCAATCTCAGGTTCATAGTGAGTTTGAGGACAGCCTTGTCTAGCTGAAAAACTCCATCTCAAAAATAAAATAACCTCAGGAAACCTGATTTTTGAAGGCTTAGGTATACTTGTCACTTACTTCTGTGATCACCCTCCCTCTGCCTCTCAAGTGCATGGGCACAATGCACTGTGTCCAGCTTCATGGCAGTTTTAAATATGAAGAGACCTTCTTAGGTCCACTGAATCCCAGAAATTTACAGTTCTCATGATACAGTAATAAATGCAGACTAGCACCATATCCAACATAAGTGTAGATGCAATGTCACTTATTAAATTGTAAATGAGATTCTTTATTTTAAATGCAAAGGAAGAAAAGCACACACATTTATTGTGTAAATTTGTCAAAGAAATAGGTTTGTGGATCTTGGTGGAAAACAGAGAGATGCAATGGAGTTTATGGAAGATGGACTTGGGAAGGTCACTCCAGCCTGCTGGAGACCTCAGTGTTTGTCTGCACAGTATCAGGTGAGTCTGTGCCCAGGTATCTTAGCTCAAGAGTCTACGACTCTCAGGGAATTTCCTGTTGTGTCCACAAGGAAAATGGGCCTTGAGTGGAGAGAAGGGAAGTTATAGAGGTGTCACTGGGAGCACCAATGAGGAGAAAGTAAACAGTCTTCATGACACACATCTGCTCCAGGAGTGCTTTGTCAACCCCACCAAAGTATCCTTGAATGGCACCATCGGAGAAGGGATGGGAGCACAGAACAGATGGGCTGGCTGGAGTCACATCTTGGGGAAGCTGGCCAGGGTGGTAATGCCACATGCGTTGTTTCTGTTCCGAGCCAAGAGAACATATCCTTTGTTTCCCCAGCTTTCTCCCCAGCTGTAGAACCAATTGAGAAAGACACTTATCATCTTAATTTATATAGTCCTTAAAACACTTACTGTAGTTCACTAATAATATAAAAAATGAGTTAGTTGGATTTTATTTTTAAGGAGTTTAAAGGCACGATGTGGAAAGAAGGCTGCTACCCAGGTTGGTTGTGTAACAGTGTTAACTGTCAACTTCACAGAATCTAGAATCAGTTGGGAGATGGACTCCTGGGAATCATGTTAATTATGTTAACTGATGTGGGATACTATTCCTTGGACAGATTCTGGACTGTAGAAAACAGAGAGATCAAGCCAAACAATAGCATGAATCCATTACGTTCATCTCTTTGTTCCCAACTATGGCTGTATGCTGACAGCAGCTTCAAGCTCCTGCTGCCTAGACTCCCTTGCCACGATGGACGGTGCCCTGGAACTATGGAATATGCATTTTCTTCCGCAGGTTACTTTGTCAGAATACTTTATCACAACAACAGAAGAACTAAGACTGGTCTTAAAGATAGTAGAAATTGTCAGGTGTGTTGTTGCACACCTTTAATCCCAGCACCTAGGAGGCAGAGGCAGGAGGATCTCTGTGACTTCCATCCTAGCTTGGTCTACACAGCAAGTTCAGGCCAGCAGGAGCTATGTTACCTTGTCTCTAGAGGAGGAGGAGGAGAAGAGGTTAGAGAAGAGGAAAGCGTGATGCGATAGGGGTATCTGAGACTGAACCTGAAGGATGAATACACTGTGTGCCAATGGGAGGAAGGTAGAGGATGGAAAATTTTTGACAGATGGGAAAGTGAGATGTGTTATGATAATGTGGCTAAAAAACAGGGTATAAGACAAAGTGCAGGTTTTTGTTTTTTGTTTTTGTTTTCCGACATCTTAAGGAGGCTGCAGTGGTTGTCGCCACTCTCCGAGCTTCATCATGCTACCTAAGGATAACAAGAAAGATGCTGGAAAGTCAGCCTAGAAAGACAAAGACCCAGTAAATAAGTCTGGTGGCAAGGCCATAAAGAAGTGGTCCAAAGGCAGAGTTCGGGACAAGCTCAACAATCTAGTCCTGTTTGACAAATTCTGTAAGAAGAGTCCAATTATAAGCTTATTATTCCAGCTGTAGTCTCTGAGAGACTGAAGATTTGAGGTTCCTTGGCCAGAGAAGCCCTTCAGGAGCTACTTATCAAGCTGGTTTCAAAGCACAGAGCCCAAGTAATTTACACCAGAAACACAAAGGGTGGAGATGCCCCAGCTGCTGGTGAAAATGCATAAACAGGTTCAATCAGCTGTACAGTTGGAAAAATAAAACTTTATTAAATTAAAAAAAAAAGACAAACTGCAATGGAAGACAGATCTGGAGAGATGGATTTAGATAAGGCTGAAGAGGTCAGGGCTGTATTAAGCTCAAGGCTAACCTGCGCTACAGGAGACCCTGTCTCAAGAAATCAAAGCCAATCAACCAACCAAACAAAAAGCATCAGGCTGAACGGTCTTAACTGTAAATCTAAGGGGCGATTAACTTTATGCAGGAGAGATCTGGAGTAAATAGGTGAGGTGAATGGGAATGCTAGGCATGAACTGGTCTCTGTGCTACTTGTCAGCCAGGTCTTTCCGACTGGGACGCAATGACTGACACACACATTTGCCCATTTGCTTGTGAACAGCTAGTAAGCATTTTGCGCAAAGAGCAGCTGATCAGAATATACTTCAGACATTATTTACTGTCCATCTATTACATGTTAGTTTTGTAATTATGAACCTGAAAGAAAAACTGGAAGCTGGAGATGAGGCTTAGTGTTACAAAGGGGATTAAAGGCAGTAGCTCTCTCTCATTGTTACCTGTTTTTAATTATCCAGTGCTTGCTTCCCTTCTGGACGCCATAGCCCACCACCAAAACAGCATGGTTCACATTGTCACGGTCGCAATTTTCATCGTAGTACACACCTACAAAACAAACTATGGATGAGCTTCTCTGAGGCAACCTGAGGAGCCCCGTGTGGTCCCCTGTCTCAGTTGGGGCTTACAACTGATATGCCCCACACTGCAGCAGCTGCCAGATTTAGCAGATGGAGTCTGACCATGAAAACTCAAGTACTCAAGCCTCTCAGGACCCCACCCACATCCTAGCAGGGGGGCTCTGCAGGAAGAGGTCCTCACCTCTGCTGTAAAACTGGAAAGATGTCAAGCTTGCATCAATTGACACAGAGATCGGTCCCACCCGAGCCACGGCTCTCTTCAGGGCTTTCTCATCACCCACAGGGATCTCTCTGTACCCTCTGCATTTAGCTGCCTTTGCTGTTGGGTTGTACATACAACTTTGATCCTGGAAAAAAAAAAAAATCAAGGGTGGAAGAGGACTACAGTTAATCAACTGGCAATAAGTTCGTAAGAAAGTCAACCAAGGTTAGAGGCAACAGACCAGTCTTTGGGTCTTACCATTTTAGAAAACTATGAAAAGAAGCCAGGTTTGGTGATACACACTTGTAAAACCAGCAATCAAGAGGGTGAGGCAGGAGGATTGCCATGAATTCAAGGCCAGCCTGGGTTACACAGTAGGATCCTGTCTCAAAAACTAAAACCAAAAAATTGGGGGGGGGGGGGAGTCAAGTGGTTTCCTGCTTCCTAGCACTCACAAAATCGACACTGCTTTTCTTTACCACTCAGCCATCTCTCTAGCCCCTTGTCAACACTGTCTTTTTCTTCTTCTTATTCACACTGTGTACCATGTAGCCCAGGCTGGTCCTGAACTCATTTCATAGCTATAAAGTGATGACCCTAACCACTGGGCATTCTGGCCTCTACCTCCACGTTTTGAAATTATATGCATGCCCCACCTCTCCCAGGACAGGGAAAGATTTTTCAAATAAGAGTGTTTGGGGTTTTATTTTAACGCAAATTACCTTCTGCCTATGTAGTATATGTAAGGTTGGTGGCAGGAAGGTACTAGCTGCTCTGTGGGGAGTTTGCCAACACCAAGCCCAGCTCAAGAGACAGCCTTGACCCTTTGTATACAATTCAGGAATGCTAGTATGGGGTAATGAGTTTTAGTTAGACCTTATGTTTTCATCAGAGGCAGAAAGAAGTACATAATATGACAGGAAAATAAATTGATAACTAAGAAATTCAACTTCTGACCTTCCAAGAGCATGCGAGCTTTGCAAGCCTCACTAACAATACAAGGTCTTGTCAAGGTGATGTGCTCTTTGTGGCAACATTTCTCCTACACACTAGACCTTTATCACCCTAAGGTTGTATCTATAAGAACACGTATTTAATACCAAAAGTACTGTCTGCATTTGATGTCATAGTCTAAGTTTACAGTGACTCACTGCTTTACTTTCTCAAAATCTGCTTGTTCTCTCCACATGATTCTGGGGTTAAACTTCTCAGATCAACAGGACATAATTGTGTGGCACATCCCTGAGATCTCAGCATGATACAAGAGGACCTCAAATTCTAGGTAAGCCTTGGTACTGCATGATCTCACAAAAGAAAGAGGGAAAGAAAGGAAAAAAGGGAAGAAAGGAGGGAGGGAGGGAAGGAGAGAAGGAGGAAGGAGGAAGAAAAGAGGAGACAAAAGATCTTATGCAAATGAAATATAGTATCTACAAATGAAATGAAATATCTTGTGAATGGACTCAAAGAATATCAGGGCCTGCTATGGCCCATACTTTGACCACCACTCAGGAGACAGACACACTGGGTCTCTGTGCACCCAGGCCAGTCTGGACCACAACCTCAAAACAAACAAACAAACAAACACAAAACCCAGGACAAAGAAAACTATTTCTTAACAAATTGATTAAGTAGTGCTAGGTAAATCATGCAAGCCAGTCTGGAAGGACAGCTTGGAAGTCAAGAGGACCTAGGTTTGGCACCTAGCACCCACATGGTGGTTCACAACCATCTGTAAGTTCCAGGGGACTCAATGTCCTTCTAACCTCTGGGGGTACCAGGCACATACACAATGTACATACACACAGGCAAATCACACAGACATATGAAATAAAAAATAAAACTCTAAAGATGCAAGTGGTCAATTAGTTCTTTAGTTTATACTTTTCTCAAATATATCCTTTAATTGATGTTAAGTAATGTCAGTAAATAACAGACTAGACTCTATATAGAGTGTCTCTCCTTCTTTACTATTTTATTTTGGTTTTTGGTGTTTTGTCCCATTCTTCCCTGCATAGAGGAGCTCTTGTAGCTCAGGCTGCCTATATTCAGATACACCATGTAGCTTAGGATGATCTTGAACTCTTAACCCTCCTGTTCCCACCTCCCATGTGCTGGAATTACAGTATGCCCACTGAGCTCTCAATAGCAGTTTACAAGAAGAAATACAAATGGCCAGGGAAATATACTGCTGAAGCCATGACTATGAATCACTTGCATACTGCAGGTAGGAGTTATAATTTTTGGCAAACAATTTGACATTTTATAGTAAAATTTAAGATACAGATGCCTTCAAAGCCAGGTGATTCTGTTATAAAGAAACATACTGTAATCTAAAATTCTTAAATGAATGCATGAAAGGGAAGGATGTGCCAGATTAGCAGGCCTGGTGGATAAATCTTGTTTGATTAGATGTCTTAGTGGATAAAACTCTTGCCTAGTAAGCAAGATCCTTGCCTAGTAAGTTTGATCCCCAGAGCCCTTGGTGGAAAGAAAGAATCCTGAAAGATTTCCCTGGCCTTCACAAGCACAGGATAGCACAAGCCCACCTGCACATACGAACATGTGTCATATTCACAAATACACACAGTAATACATTTTTATAAAATCTTCATTTCACTACAGACTGCAGTATGCAATTTGAGTATGTTGTGACATCTCCTTAAATATCAAGGATAAGCCAACCTTTTAAGAAAATACACTGAGCACATACCCCTTAGCAGATAGTTACTAACATTTTTATCACTGAAACTTGCTGTTCCTCTCTCAGAGGTCCATAACCCAAAGAATTCTATTGCCTATCAGTCCCAACTATACTAAAAACTCCACGGGGCTGGAGAGATGACTCAAAGCTTTCTTATATTATGGAAACTTTGGCTTCCTATGACAATTCTATTAAGAAAGCAGGATATCCATGTGTGGGTCCTGGGCCTGTGACCCTGGTACTTGGAAGCTGGAGGGGGGAGTTCAGGGTAATCCTCAGCTACATAGTAATTTCAAGGCCAACACGGACTATATGAGATCTTGTGTCAAAAAAGGGGGGCCAGCCTAGGCTAGCTTGGGATACCTAGTAAGATATTATCTCAAAGTTAAAAGGAAATAAAGAAAGAGAGGGGGTAGGGAGTGAGAGGGAGAAAGAAGCGAGAGACAGAGAGAGAGAGAGAGAGAGAGAGAGAGTTAGGAGAAAGGAAGAAAGAAGAAAGGAAGGAAGGAAGGACAGAAGGAAGGACGGGAGGGAGGGAGGGAGGAAGAGAGGGAGGAAGGACGGGAGGGAGGAAGGCAGGAAGGAAGGGAGGAAGGCAGGAAGGAAGGGAGGAAGGCAGGAAAGCAGATACAACAGCAGAAAGCAAAGCCATGCTGAAGGAGAGCCAGCACAGGCCTCTCACCTGCCCCACATACGGGTAAGCGTCTTCAGAGTCAATGCCCCCGTTTGTCTGCACATACCGGAAGGCAGTGGTCATATAGCCGCCTCCACAGCCATAATTCTCAGACACACAATCCACAAGATTCTGAGGACTGAGATTTAAGAGTTTGCCAGTCTTCTTCTTGAGTTGGCCCTCTAGGGCACCCGCAGAGCTGAAAGCCCAACAGGAACCACACTCACCCTGAGAGACATACAGAAAAACTGTCAGTCATCACGTTTCACATGGGCCTAAAAAATAATTCATGCATTTTGTGACCTCAACACAAATGCTGCTTTGTTGTGAACCTCGCTGTCATCCCCATTGATAACAATTGTGACCACCATTTCCTTTAACTGGAGTCAAGTACAGTACTTTATGGCTTTGGAGACAGTTCTGAAGTGTGACCCTGACTCTGTACACTAGTTCTGTGACCCTGACTTGTTACTGAAATTCTCTGTGCCCCAGTTTCCTTACCTTTAAAAATGAGAATAAGTTGACTTGGTGGGACATATCTGTAATTCCATCACTGGAGAGGCAGAGGCAAGAGGATCAGGAGTTCACGGTCAATCTCAACCATATACTGAGATAGAGGCCAGCCTGGGCAACGTGAGTGATGCTGTAGTTAATGAATTGACTCTTGTGAGCACTGAGAGACTTATTTACATGTAAGCCATAGAAGCTCTGTATGCTCAGCACTCTCAGAAATCATCAGCTATTATTATTAGTGTTTGCTCTCCTCAATTGCACCATTTTCTTTCTCCCAGATTTTCTATTTTTTTAAGAATGAGAAGTTCTTGAGGAGGAACTCTTTACCAGGTAGCTAGCACTGTACTTGTTTGGTTCTAGGAGAGGGGTGGTGTTTGTAGAATGAATGTTATATCAATTATTCATCTTACTGATGACATAGCCCTGTGCTGTTAAGGTCCTAGAAAAACTGAGATTCTCTTACAGATAGGAATCTAATATTGTAAAAACCTTTTGGGGGAAAATATTCTTGTCCTAGTAATTACAATTTCAGAATTTGTTTTGCACAATTTTTTTTGGGGGGGTTAGAGGCAGGTTTCTCTGTATTGTTTTGGGGCCTGTCCTGAAACTAACTAACTACCTCAAACTCACAGAGATCCACCTGCCTCTGCCTCCCGAGTGCTGGGATCAAAGGGGCGTGCCACCAATGTCTGGCTTGCACAAATATTTCTACATGAGCACAAAAATATATGCATAAGATGCTTATTGTAACACTAAGTTTTTAAAAGCAGAAAAAAACTAAATATACAAAATAGGTGATGAATTAAACAATAGAATAAGCTATATTCTTGTTCCATAAGATATACTTCAGTTCAGGCCAGATTGCCTACACACATATGCAAGCAAGCACACCTGGTTTTTAACTGGAGTGACATATCCTTTCTTTCGATAGTCGATGGCATCTGGGGCTCTGCCTTCCCACTCTGGGACGTAGAGAGTGTCATTACTGTGAGAGTGAGAGGGTGGTAATTTGAGTCCTGTCATCTTCTGAACCACTTCTTCACTGGTCTGAGACAAAGCAGGAGGCCAATCATTAGCTGGGACCATGGTAAAGGCAGTGGGTGGGCCTGGATCCCAGATGCAACTCACCATGTCTCCCAAGTGATTCATGGCCAGTTCATATGTGTGGACACCAAGAGAGGCCTCAAGGTTATGGACAGAAATATGCTTCAGGTTTTTTTCCCAAATTAAACGCCGAGAGATTTCATCCACCTAAATAGAATAGTCTTTAAGTTCATAGACTGTGTGCCATTACATAGGTAGGTTTTAGGAGAAAAATGTACCATAACCAAAAAGAGTTTACAGTCTAGCTGGGGAACTATGGAATCTTAAGAGTCCACACCCAAAAAATGTATGCAAAGTTCTAGAGAGACCATAGAATAACAACACTGCTATGAGAAAACAAAAGAGCTTTCCCACATACACACAGCACAGCAGCATCTGTGGTGCTGGGTAATGCACCCTGTGATGGCTGAGCCACTCCTCCAGCTAATATATGTGTAAAGCAGATAGAGGGACTGCAGCACAAAAGCAAAGCCAGCTCCGAGTTAGGACACAGGCGCTGCATGCTTGGGGTAAAGCACTGTGTTCTGACTGAAGGGAATCTAGTCAATGACTCAGAGGCCCCAGGCCCCAGGCCCCAGCCCTCCTGTGTCCCCTTGCAGGCCCAGGCACCTTGCTGCCATACTGCTTCCTGTGGGTCTTCTTCCATAGCTCCCACTGGGTATCCAGCATTTCCTCAGGATACAGGGCAACGCTCAACATGGGCAGCAGCAGCAACTTGAATGCCCACATCCTGCGAGAGGAATAATTACAGCAGAACTTCTTTGGCAGGAGGTTCACAGGCTAAGCCAGCCTGTGGGTGTGGAAATGATGGCGGACACATTACCAGGAAGGCTGTTAGCACTTTGGCATTTGTACTGGTCTGTCTTTGGAGTTCAGACAGGATATGCTCTCAGCTGCTGCCACTAAGAGCACCACCTGTGCCTATTTACCTTGTTCCCTTTTAAAAGGGCCCTGCCCAACTCCATTCCCCCCTGTTCCTCCTCTCCTCTCCCCTCCCCTCCCCTCCCTCTCTGCTGCTCCTTCCTTTCTCCTGAGGCTGATCTCCCCACCCCCTTTCCCTTTTACAATCCTTTTCCCTTAATACAAACCCCTTCCAATTGAACTCTGTCACATGATGTCTTTCTCTCCTGAGCAGCTTTTTAAAAATCACAACAAAGCAACAAAGCCACCTTCTAACTTTTTAGGAGCTATAAAAATGAGTTCTGTCTACCAGAAAATCACACACACATGCATTAATCCTAAGGGATTCATAAACCCAAAAGAACTACACACAGGCGTGTGTGCATGTGCTCCCCACCCTCCTCTCTCTCACTTGCTTCGTAAGTTTCTAACCCTTGGCTAGCCTTGAGCTCACTATGTTGACCAAGAGGGCTTTGAATTCAAAGATCTGTCCCCTCTTCCAACCTGCACTGGGATTAAAGGCATGAGTTACCATGCCCAGCCCAAGAATCCCTTCTCTTGAACTATAGGGCTAGCAAGGTTGGCTGTATGTGGAAAATAGAAGTTCAGGCGATTTTCATGATAAAGCAATAATGGGCAGAAGGTGGGGGGGGTGCTGGAACATTTGATTTTAATTACCCCAACTCAAGGATGTCCCACCAATACTGCACACATGGTAGACAACCAGAGTGGGTAACTGGGAAGGGCTGGGTACCGCTCTTCTCCAGTATCCCCAGTGAAGGTGCCCACGGAGAGAATAACCACAAATGAATGTGGTTAGAGACAGAGTTATGGCTATGGTGTGCTTCCTGCTCTGTTCATGGCATCCTTCCTCCTTTGCCTAAACCCAGATCTTGCCAGGAAAGAACAGGGCTAACTTTGCAGTATTTATCACAATGTGTTCACTGTGTCTTCATTCGCCTTACCCATTTCTTTCCTCATTCCTCTCCCTCTTTAGACAGGAAACGGCTCTAATCTTAACCAGATGTCATTATTTTTTTTTTTTCCAAACTGAGACGTGGCTGCTGCCCAAGACAAAAGCCCCAGATATGTAAGAGGAAAGTACAGGACAAAAGGACAATATTCTGTAATGAACAAGTTCACGGTTCACAGCTATTCAGGACTTCATTAATTTCTTGCACTGGCTTAATTGCAATTTTTTAAGTTTAAAAACCACTTCCTGTCTCCAGCACATCATAGGACTTGTGCAACACTGACTACACTTTTATGTACTCTTTGCAAAGCAACCAAATATTCAGCAGAACATTTAATAGCAGATTGTTACAGCCTTGGATACGGCTGTTAACTAGTCCTCTTCCTCAGGAGCAAGTCAGTTAACCCTTCGGTTAAGCAGAACTGCAGAAAAAATCCACTTTTGAGGCAGGCTCACAGAATCCTCATCTTTCACCAACAAACAAACACATATTCATTCAAATACACAATCATACACAGAATCCTAAAGATTTCCAGACATTTTATTTAGACAGAAAGTTAACTAAGAAGGACTATGTTTTTGTTCAGGGATCCCCAACCCACTATATCCTTTCTGTTCTTAAAATAAGGTAGCTGGTAGGAATGAGATGCTAAAAGATCCAAAAGTTAAAAAACTGTTACCTGTCGTTGAGAATCTGTCGTCCAGGCTGCTTCCAGACAGCAAGCGTGGCTACTGTGAGCAGAAGACTAAGGGTGCTAGATTTATTCCATCAGGATTGCGGAAGTCAACTCCAGCAGTGGCTGGAAAATTTGGATAAGGGAGGGAGGCAGGGATAGGATGAGAAAGGGGGGTTAGGGTGGAAGGATAGACAAATATTTGCACAATGTTCCTGAGAGCTGCTAAGTGTTCAGTTCTATCTAACTCTTTGGGGGAAAACTTAGACAGCAAATTATTCAAATTGAGGCTTTGGTGAAGAAATGAAAGAGACTTGAGTTTCTCCACCCCTCCTCAAAATGTCTTATTGGAGAATTCCATCGTTTTCTAACCATTCAGTCATGGTCTATCCCCTGTCCCCCAACCATTTTCAACTTTGTTTCAGATCCTCTTCTGAGATGATAGGGGGCACAGAGCTATGTGCACACAGTGTGAGTGTGTGTGTGTGGTGGAGACACACCAAAGACTAGAAAGAGTAATATATGGCATATAAGACTCCAATTTAAACATTTTTAAATTTTCTTTGACTAATGCTACTGCTTCTGGGCAGGGAAAAGCTATTCTAACCCATTATGGCTGTGCATAAAGTCAGAGTGAAATGTTTTAAAAGTGGACAGAAAGTTGAGGGCATGTGGTGGTGCAGGCACTCAGGAAGCTAAAGCAAAATCACAGGTGGCTGTGGGCACACCTTTTATCCTTGCCCCTTCACCCCCCCTACCCCCCACCCCTGGGAACAGGGCAGCAGGGGCAGGTGGTCCTCTGTGAGGTCAAGGTTAGAGCAGTCTACAGAGTGATCTGAAGTCAGTCAAGGTTACACAGTGAGATGCTGTCTCTAAATAAATAAAAGCAAACTCACAAGTTCAAGCCTAGCCTAACTTAGTGAGCTCCTGTTTAAAATGTAAAAGAGGACTGAGGATCATAATTCAGTGTTGTGCTTGATGAACATTATATGGCCCAAGGCTCATGGCCTAATATAGCATTAAGAAAGAAAGAGACCCAATGTATCATATATTATTTACAACTCTTCAATCAACATCAACAGGCTGATGGATACACATGTGACTCCACTGCTAAACTCTCAGATGGCAGAATCTGATGAGCACTGCATCTCAATCATTAAAATCCCCAGCTAGGTCTAGTCACAAGATCACCTCCAAATGCTTCCCCAAAATCCACACATGTGGCACATCATAAGACTCTAGCTCAGCCAACCATGACTCTAAACTCCATTTCTTTCCATAAACAGATGTGAGGATTTAGAGAACGAGGGATCCTGGAATAGAAAGGGTATTGCACAAATCTAAATTCAGTTTCTAGCTGGATTCCTCACACACACCCCAATTCTAGAACCCAGGCTTGCCTTTGGATTTCAAGAGGTGCCCATGACCCATGCATGTAAAGACCCACATGAGCACAGTTGACAATCCCCTTACCTCCTTTCAATCAGGAGGAAATACAGGGGGAAAGACATCCATCCAGATGTCCCGAGTGGCTGCAAATTCCAAGAACTCTTCCCAGCATATTTTTGTTTGTTTTTTTTTTTTTTTTTTTTTTTTGGTTGGTTGGTTGATTGGTTGGTTTTGGTTTCTGAGACAGGGTTTCTTTGTATTGCTTTGGAGGCTGTTCTGGAACTAGTTCTGTAGACCAGGCTGGCCTCAAACTCAGAGATCTGCCTGCCTCTGCCTCCCTAGTGCTGGGATCAAAGGTATGGGCTGCCACCACCCGGCTCTTCCCAGCATCTGGTAATAGACTAGACACCCCCACTCCTAGTGTGGCCAGTGTGTCTACTGACTACTCATGATGAGTCAGGGTCAGGAGGAAAGTAAGCAAGGAACAGGGTGCTGAGTGATCAAGGCCTTATGATCTCTAATTCCCAAAATCAAGACTATGCTTTATGCTTGTGTGTCTGAGCCCAATTATGGGTTCTTTCAGTTGTGCAAGTCTGTCATTTAGAAGCTGGACTGGGATAAGGAAGCCGCAATCAAGATCACACAACACGATAAACTTTATAAAAGAAAAAATACTTTGTTTTAAAATCTTTGCTACATATCATTATTTTTGCCACTGCAAGGTTTAACACAGATGGCTAACAAGAAAAAACAATCAAAAATAAAACCCTGAAGGAAAAGCATACCAAAACCCTCAGAGTAGATTCTCCCTCCCCCCCTTTCTTCAAAAGCCCTGTAATTACTGTACATTATAGTTCTGATCACATTTAAAAACAAGTTGATTATTAAAAAACAAGTATTTCATTGGAAACTCAACTTTTTGGTTCTGTAATTGTGATATAAATATATATGTATACTGTATATGTGCACTTAGAATAAAAAAATAGCCTCCTTTTCCACTCTATTGCCTGGCACCAGACTGGAGACAAATGGAGGGAAACTTAGAATATAACATTCCCTCAGCCTCTTCCATGAGCCTCTCCATCCTGGCTCCTCCTTCCCTATGAATACACTGAATAGATGTTTTCCATACTAGTTTAATCTTTCACTTACTGACAGAAGCCAGAAAAAAAACAAAACAAAAACAAAAATAACAAACAAAGCAAAACAAAAAACCAGGCTCCTGATATGAGATGCACCCGAGGATGGTAAAGGGTGAAAGCAGTAGCTTGTAACTGAGTTTCTATGGCTGTAATTATCAAGTGACCCTGTGGGAATTTGAGTCCATGACCCAACTAACAAATAAACTCACATTTATGTTCCAAAGCAAAACCCAAATCCAAGTTTGGAGAGGGAGCAAAGAACAATAGATTTCAGGAAGACCTAAACGTTGCTTTGACAACAGGAAGGAGAAGACATGTGCAGGACGGCTTTCTATTTGGTTTATTCCCTCGTCGGTGAGGGCTTTCACTCAGATAGCTAATCCAAGAAGTTGAGTTTCCATGCAGAAATAACCTCTCCAGAACACATGTGTGACTCTGACAGAAAAAATGCAGCATTATTCTATGGGCAAGTCTGGGGTGTCTGGCCGGCCTATTCTGGTAATATCTACAGATCTTCCACATAAGTTGAGAGCACCAAAAAGCAGGAATAATCCAGCTTGATCACTGAATGTGTTCTGTAAGAGACCAATCCTATCAACAGAAGGCTATATGTTGGCTTATAGTTCCATTTTGGCTGGGCATGGGTTTAAGTGCAGCAAAGGCTTAGTTTAAATACTCTTTGGCTGCAATACTAAATACAAAAATACCAGGAAAAATTAATTTCTTAGGACTCTTTGAAGAGCAAGCAGAAAAACAAAGAAAATCTAGGACAAACTTTGCATAAACTCCCTAATAGGGAGAAAGAACAAAACAGAGGAGCTCAAACACACACACACACAAGGGGACACACACATACACACACACACACACATACACACATACACTCTCTCTCTCTCTCTCTCTCTCTCTCTCTCTCTCTCTCTCTCTCTCATACTCTTTCATGTTTCATTCCAGGGGACTTCTCATTTCCAAAAGCTCCACATATAATCATATTTCACGATCCTCAGTTATGAGGATATTTCTCTTCTCCTCTACTCTATTCAGTATTTCTATCCAAAACAAGCCACAGTCTCCAAGGCAATTCATCAGTGGCTGTCAGGCTCGTCTATTCTGCCCCTTGCCTTCAGCACAACTCATTTCTGTGACACTTCTGGTAAGAAGACATAAAGACAGGACTTCTAATCTCACCTGTCCTCAGATTTTCAGAAGACCCTAAAAGCCTGGGAATTCATTTCATTTCTTATATAAATGTTACTTCAGAGTCAAGGGGTGAAGGGGGTACATATTGGGGGTGAGGGAAGGGAGAGGAATTTTTATTTTGTTTACAAAAGATTTGCTTTTAAAACAACAGTGATTTCCCCCACCCTTATCCTCACCCCAATAGTTCTATTCTGAAAAGGGGGGGAACATAGTTAGATCAGGGAATTCTTCATTGTTGTAGCTGTTGCTCTGGTCTCCCAGCATGGACAGCATTTCCTAATGAAGAAAAAAGATTACATTTGATGGTGTTCCCCCAACACTCCCACATGCTACCATTCTTAACCTGCAGTAGCCTCACCTCATAGCCTTTTTTCCTTGTCTCTTCTCCATCTTCCTCCTATAATTCCTTTATTTTCCTTTTACCTAGTCCTTGATATTTCCTTTCTCTTTTAAATTTCATATGCATTGATGTTTTGCTCGAATGTGTGTCTGTGTGAAGGTGTTGGAACTCCTAGAGCTGGAGTTACAGACAGTGGTGAGTTGCCATGTAGGTGCTGGGAATTGAACCTGGGTCCTCTGGAAAAATCAGCTAATGCTTTTAACAGCTGAGACATCTCTCCAGCCCCCCCGGCCCCTTGATATTTTCAAAGAAGAAAAATATGCATGCAACTTTTCATTTAACCCCTACGGTAATATCTGAAATGTATCTAATCACATTTGTTTCTGACCAAACCCTAATTTGCCTTCTTTTTAGTCTGTTTTTGACTAGTTTATTCTCTAAGATTATCAAAATCAATCTTGTAGTCCCCTCAGGTGAAAACAGATGTTTATAGCTATAATCAGTATATGCTATTTTTAAATCCAAAGCTACTTTGAGATATGGACCTCTGTACATGAATTAAAATAATTTTCTTCAGCATCTTTATATGGTGCTTCACATCAGTTACTTTGGTCTGATAATGGGTGTGTTTATAATAATTTATAATTTAAATTAATAAGATCAACTACTGACATTCCTACGTATCCTGTCTTCCCTTCGGTCTCATCTCGTACTACCCCAACCAATACAACGTACGTGTCCTTCTATCTCTCTTCCTGAAGTCTTTATCTACTCACCTGAAAGACCTCAGGCTGGCTAGGCGGTTGTGCTGATGTTTGCTGAACATGTTGCTCACTGGAACTGGACCGATGATGGGGCTGCTGGCCCTGCCACTGTGGCCAGACACCTACACCCTCTGCTGTCCGGGTCTGGAATTGTCCTGCAGTCTGTCCTGCACTTTCAGAAGCTAGAAATACAGTAATAAACAGCTTGAATCTATTAGCTTCAATGGAAGGGAGAAACTAGCACACAGCTATATATATGAGTCTATCTGCTAACCAATGCCTCTATTTCAAAGCACATTCTCAAATTCACTTTCATTCCCTAGATAGCATTTCTAAAAAATTCTTTGTTCATTTAAATATGCATTCCCTTAAGTAGACGTGGTTTTTGTAGTACAGTTGTACAGTAAGTATTACAATAATTCACATGGATTTTATTACAGGTGTTGAAACAGTTTTCCTATAGCAGGTTTTCATAAAGATTTTTAAAAGTTACTACTGTTTTGTGTATAGCGCATGTGTGGCTCATTGGTGGTCAGAAGACAGTTTGGTGGAGTCAGCTTGCTCCTACACATGGGTTCTGGGGACTAAACTCAGGTATTAAGGATTGTGATGCAACGGGCCATTTCAACATCTCTTGTGCAAGGTTTCCAATTTCAAACAGACTGCATTTTCTTATAATTAGGTCAGCGCATGAAGGATACAGAGAAACAATGCTAACTACAAAATCCTCTTTCTTTAGTAGTTTGATTTTCCTGTTATTTTTCTTCTCATCTGAACTTACGAAAGTTGGATCCACGGTTGGTGAGGGTAGGGTAGGCAGCAGTACCCTGAGATGCAGTGGGAGCCCCAGGGAGAGTCATAGCACTGAAGGAGGAGGAAGTCTGAAAGTTGCTCACACCAAATTGGGAAGAACGAGTCTTGGCTGTGGCCTGGATGGGCACCTGATAAAGAAAAGAGGGATACAGAACAAGGGAAATATTGTGTACTTCATCTCTATGCATCAATACACATTAAGTACTGGATTCTTCTGAGCACTACTTTTTACCTGTCTCTAACTGTAAACTTCTAATACTCCCAATTCTTGCTAAATCTTTTTTTTTTTTTTTTTTTTTTTTGGCAACTAAAAGTTTAAAAAGCCAAGAATTACAGACTTAATAAAAATAATAATTAGTTAATTGAGCTCACTGGGTCATGAAACAAGGAAAAAAGACATTAAGGTAGAATAGGGGCTGGTTGATAGATAAGAAGAAGAGGTATCAGTAGATCTAGAGTAAGACAAGAGGTTATGGTCAAAATACATTATAGACATGCATGAAAACAGTACAACAAACCTATTCTTATATATAAAATGAGCTCATACAATTATGAGAACAGAAAACAGGTTATAAATTGTATGTGTATGCATATTTTACATGTGCAAGTGCACATTCACAAACACAGCAACCAAAGATCAATGTGTCTTTCTCAGTTGATCTCCACTTTATGTGTGTGTTCATGTACTTCTTAGTGGTAAGTGGGTGCATGCACACACATGTATAGAAGCCAGATGTTAGGTTGGGTGTCTTCCTTTATTATTCTCCACCTTATTTTTGTTTTTTGGTTTTTTTTTTTATTTTGAGGCAGAGTTTCTGTGTAGACTAGGCTGGCCTGGAACTCACAGAGATCCACCTGCCTCTGGCCTCTCAAGTGCTGGGATCAAAGTGCACCACCACCATCTGCCTTCCACCTTATTTTATGAGACTGGATCTTTCACTGACCCTGCAGCTCACCCATCTGACTAGACTAATTGGCTAGCAAGCACTAGGGAACCATCTGTCTCCATTTTCCCAGTCCTGGGAATACAGGTGTTTTCTATCACACCTGATTTAATTTTCTTTCCTTTTTTACATTTACTTAGTGTGCATGAGTATGCACATACATGTGAACACATGTGTGCATAAGCATGAATGTTAGAAGATAACATGCAGGAGCTGGTTCCCTTTTCCCACCATGTGGGTCATTAGGCTTGAGTGACAAGCACTTTATCATTAGAGTCATTTCTTCTGTCCCCAAAGTAGAGTTGTATAAAAGAAGAACCATTGTATCATGCACTGTGTCTGACTTCCCTCTACTCTTAGCTTCCTTTCCTAAAGAGTCCCATCTTTCCTTTGACTGGGATATATGTGTAGTACAGAAGAGTTTGATGACAACTTTTAGGGAAGTCCATGCCCACACTCAGCTATGTCTTTCTGAGTGTTTTTCATTGCCTTCAATTTCAGCTTAAATCTGTATTTAAAGAGTCTTTTAATAAAAACTCTAGATCTGCTTCAAAAAGAAAAGAAAAAAATTGAGAAAAAAAGGAAAAAAAAAATCCAACTAGAAACAAAGCCTCATTATTAACCTCACCAGGAGAGGCTGACTCATGGCTGACACTTTGGACAACGTCTTCCCACTTTTACTTTCCACTGCATTTTGTCCTCGTTCTGTTCCTTTTTTGAGACCTTTTTTGAGACAGTTTATCTCACTAGGTGGCCCAGACAGGTCTTGAATGCACCATCCTCCTGCCTCAGCTCAGCTACTTCTATGTTGGGATTAAAGCTATGTAACGTGTGTGTGTGTGTGTGTGTGTGTGTGTGTGTGTGTGTGTGTGTGTGTGTGTGTATGGAACAATTCTGGAGCCCAGTTTGACTTTTAATTTTTTTTTCCTTTTCTAAAATATTATTTACATGAGACAAGCACAAGAGAAATAAGCCTAACATATTCACTATATATTCTATGCATGGATACTATACCAGGATTTTTAACTATTTTAACAAATAGTCAATGAATATAATTACTAATTTTCTACTTTGGTACTATGTCACATAGTCCTAAACAAAGACAACTCTTTGAATTTACTGTAAACACACCCCAAATCAAAGCTGTTTAAACTGCTCTGAATGTGCAGTTCTGAACTAAGGTGACTATGGGAAAACCAGAGGCACCAATGAGATTTTTGGAAGTATTTCTGGTATTTTAATTATCTGGCTGCTCTCACCAAACATGAAAATTGTAAGAAAGATCAAGAACAGGAACTGGAGAGGAGATATCTAAGATGACAATAATAAATTTATCTGTAGGGAAAAAAGACCCCAATAAACAAAAAACAATATACAGATCAGACAGGTAAGAGGTTTTACCTGGGCAGAGAAGCCTGGGCGGGTACTAGGGGTCCAAGTTGGAGCTGCTCCCTGGGTAGAGTTGGAGTGACGAGAAATCTGGGCTAACATCTGCCCTGCAGAAGATGATGGCTGGACAATTGTTACAGGAGGGGTCAGACCACTATTCCTAGGAGGAACAAACAGAGAAGTAAAAGATTCAAAGGTGAGTCTATCAAGGAAGCTATGAACCAAAGGACAACCAAATTCTATCCCTAGATCCCTTTGATTTCCTTGGAGTTAAGGAAAACCTGATAAATTTGAAAAACATGAGACTGACAGTCACACACTGACCACACAGAGAGATGGAACCTACAACAAGGCAATAGAATAGGTGCAAAAAATAGGAAAAAAGCAGCTTCTTCATCTCACCCTAGGTCCAGGTAAGTACTACTGCTTTGTCTGAAAGGACCAGAGAAAGCAAGGGAAGAATGGCACATGGATTCAGCAACTGAATCCCGCAGAGCCCTGTCAAGCAGCACACACATATGGGGCTCACCTGAAATTTTCTGCCGGCCGGGGGTTAGGAGGGAATGAGTTGCCCTGGGAGAATAGCTGTTGGGTGGCAGGGACAGTGCTGGAGGAGATGCCTTTACTCTGATCTGTGGACCAAAAGGAGTTGGGGGAGGGCCATCAAGGGGCTGTAGTATATAGTTAAATAAAGTCCTATTTACTCATGAAGTACGATATTTAAGTGGAAGTATGCTGGAAGACTATCAATTGGGCAGTAGCAGTCCAATCAGTGATATCAAAATCAGACTATTAAAAGGATCCTGTAGATGAAAGCTGTACCTGCACTGATGTTGGGATAGATTTCTGAAAACCTCGGATCTCTGTCCTGGGCAAAGAGACCATCTGACTTTTCAAGGGACTTGCTGTGCTCTGCTCCTGTAGTTGTCACAGGCTGGACAGAAACCTAGGGAATAAAATAATGAAAACAATCAGTAATGGTTAATGTAGCAATTCAATAATGTTCAACTTCATATTCTCACCAATCCTGGGAGTTTTTAAGATTAATTTTTATCTTTTTATTGTGTGTGTGTGTGTGTGTGTGTGCGCGCGCGTGCACACTGTATTCATATATATAGTGTCTACAGAGGTCAGAGGCATCAGACCTGGAACTAAAGTTACAGGTGGATGTGACACCCACTGCTGGTACTAGAAACTGAACTTGGGTCTTCTACAAAAGCAGGACTCCCTTAACTACTAAGCAATCTTGCCAGCTTGAAGATACATTTTAAAGAAATGTTCATTATCCTATTACAGAAGAAGATACACACCCACCTGGGAATGGTTATAGCTGGTCAGCCCATCTCTTCCTGGTACCATATCCAATTCTGTTTGCTGCTGCTGCTGCTGCTGCTGCTGCCTATATGTCAAATATCAGTGTGGAAAGCAATAGGGAAAAAGATGTGTAACAAAGAATTTAGAGAAAAGGCCTTTAAAAACGTAAACCACATGCAGCAAGAACAAAAATGTGACTGCACATCACTACATTCCGGCTAGTGATTGCTCAAGACTTAATTACTTCACCATTTCTCACCTGGAGGCCAGCTGCCCTGTACTCATCTCTAGGGATAGATTGGTTGCTGAACCTAGCTGTGACCTAGCTGTGTTAGTCAGTGTAGGCCGTGGTTCCTGGCTAGAGTTCCTAGGAAGATAAAGTAGACAACAACACATAAAGGGAAAACAAGAAATGACTCAATACAATAAACTCCATATATTGACCTGTAAGGAAAGGCAATCACTAACAGATCTTTCTTTATAAAGTACAGTCCCATAAGTAACCCATGAACTTGGTTTCAGGAAAAAAAAAATTAAGTTACAGACAACATAGTACTAACTGAATCTATGTCCTAAGAAACAAAGGCTCTTTCTGGTTTTATTTGTTGTTGTTTGAAACAGGATTTCCATAGCCCAGGCCAGCTTAAACTCAGAAATATGTGACTTTTAATTTCTAGCTCCAAGGACAGATTACATACGTGCACCACCACCCTGAGTCTATGAGGTGCAGGGTCACATGCATGATAGACAGGCACCGTACCAGCTGAACTTGGCCCCAGCCCACTTGTTTTCTAACTCCTTCAAGGTACTTGACACCTGGGCATCGTGAAAGTGTGTGCCCATCTGCCCTGTTTTTAAAATTGTAACTGAGATGAATGTATACATTAAAACCGTTTGATCTTTTTGCCCTTTTCTTTTTTTAAATAGGGCATCTCTATGTATCCCTGACTGTCCTGGAACTCTCTAGGTTAGTGGTACTCAACCTTCTTAATGTTATGACCCTTTATTACAGTTCTTTCTGTTGAGGTGACCTTAACCATTAAATTACTATTGTTGCTACTTCATAATGGTAATTTTGCTATTATAAACTGTCATATAAATATCTAATATGTAACCCCTGTGAAAGGTCATTTGACCATGGGGGTCATGACCCACAGGTTGAGAACCAATGCTCTAGGTAACCGGCTGTCCTCAAACTCACAGGAATACACTTATGCACCACTATACCCTGCTAATATTTGATTTTTAAAAAATAAATTCAAGTCAGGCATGGTGATGCTCATCTTTAAGCCCAGCACTTGGAGGTCAAAGCACTTGTAGAACAAAGGTAGATGGATTTCTGTGAGTTTGAGGCCAGCTTGGTCTACATAGTGAGTTTCAAGACAACCAGACTTATGTAGCATTCCTATGCTACACAAAACTAGCATAGGAATATTTATGCTTCATTCTGAATAGCCAGAAAATAGAAATAACCCAATGTCCATCAACTGATGACTACAATGGGCTCTCTACTTACATCACCCAAACCAAGATATTATCATCTGCAACTGATACTCTCTTGCAAAAGAAAAATTAGTTTTCTTCAATGGAGTCTCACTAGGTGTATTAACCACATTTCACTTCTGAGTAGGACCTTGTCTATGAGTAGCTGGCCAACATAAATGTACTTGGTGATATTTTTGAAGACTTTTGCCTCATATTGATCTGTTTGGACATCTTTTTTTTTTTTTTTTTTGTCTTATTCATCTTTTGTTATATTATTTTGGTCTCTGTGTGTGTGTGTGTGTGTGTTTGTGTGTGTGTGTGTGTGTGTCTGTTGAGAGAAAAAAGGGCATGGAGTTGGGTAGATGGGAAGGAGCCAGAAGAAGCTGGGAGAGGGAGAAAGTGTGATCAGAATACAGTATATGAAAGTTTAAAGCAAAAAAAAAAAAAAAAAAAAAAAAAAAGATGCTATGTCCATAAAATGAAATATTAATTCACAGCACCAACAATATGAGATAATAATACATACTACCACATGGTTGATCCAGAAAGCAGTGAGACTACTCACAAAGGAACCATTCTGTGATTTACAAATCTCTAAGCAGATATATAGAGATAGTAAATTAGATGTTTAAGACTTTAGAGGAAAGAGGAGAATGAACACTTTTAGTGGGTTCAGGGTTTGAGTAGGGATGAAAATGTTCTAAGAGTTGCAAAAGTGTGTACTAAACTAAAAACTGCCCATGTAATGGGAGGGATATATGGCCTGTATGATGTATTTCAAGCAAACTTTTTAAAAAGCTGAAAGCTAGGGGACAGAGAGATGGCTCAATGGTTAAGAGCACTTCCTGTTCTTGCAAAGGACCCAGGTTCAGTTCCCAGTACCCACGTGGCTTCTCACAACTGTCTTCAACTCTAGTTCTAAGGGATTTGAACTCCTTCTGACCTCTGAGGACATCATACACATACGTAGTGCAAAAAGAGACATGTAGGCAAAACACTCATAATAAAGCTGAAAGCTTGACATGGTGTCTCATACCTGTAATCCTAGAACTCATGAGACAGAAGAATAATGACAGCTGTGAGTTCAAGTCCAGTCTGGTCTACTTAATGAGTTTCAGATCATTCAGGACTACATAGAGAGGCCTCATCTCAAAACAAAACAAAACAAAACAAAACAAAACAAAAACAAAAAAACAAAAAAACAAGCAAACAAATAAAAAAAAACCCCAAAAAACAAAAAAACAAACAAGACCAACAGCAACAAAAAGACAACTGAGAGAAAGGAACAGAAAGTTATATTAAGAGTGTGATGTTGCTATGCTCTGCAGTAAAGTCTTGACCCATGGATCAACTTTAATCCATTGCCCATTTTATAACAAAAATTATAGCAACCCAGCCATGTTATTTCTGTGCCTGTTTTCATACCACAACAGTAGAGCTGAGTAGTTGCAGTAAAGCTCATACGGTCTAGACAAAGCTGAAATATTTACTATCCTGTCCTTCATAGAGCAAAACACTGGCAGAGCTGAGTGGAGCACACCTTTAACTCCAGCACTCAGGGAGGTAGGTGGATATCTGTGAGTTCAAGGTCAGCCTGATCGGCAAACAGAGTTTCAGACCAGCCAGTACTACATACCAAGACCCTGCCTCTAAAACAAATACAAAACCCTCCAAAAAATCCTAAGGCAGGGAAATAGTTCAGTGGAAGGGCACTTTGCCTACTTTCTGCAAATCACTGAGTTTAACCAGCATAGTAAGTAATTAACTAATTAAGAAAAGGTAAAATTATTACTAAGTAAATCAAATTTAGAAAATTAAAATGAGAACCTTTCTATTTCAACAACTAACATTTGAACTACTGTTTTAACTTTACTTGCAATTTCTTACAGAAAGAAAAGTTCACGGAGAACACTGCAGTGGTTATGGGCACTGCCCATAGCACCAACTACGACTGCTTATTAAAACTTACTCTATCTGAGCCAGTGAGACGGTTTGGTAGGAAAAGGCGCTTGCCCCCGGGCTGACAATCTGAGTTCCATGCCTGGGGCCCACTTGGTGAAGAGAGAACCATTCCTTCAAGTTCTCCTCTGATGTTCATATATGTTCTGCTACATATCAGTGTGATATACACAAATTAAGAAATAGATGTCAACAGCAAACAAAACCCACCTTACTTTCTACCTCGACTATATCAAACCCTATAGAAAGCTATAAAATGAGGAATTTCAAACTGACGGTATTTCATAAGTCAAAGCTGAAGAGGAGATAGCTCGATAAGGCTAAGACTTGCCCTGTCCCACCCCGAGCCCTATCCCAGGGGTGGCCACAGGGGAAACCCAACATGAAAAAAAGGCAGAAGTCCATACTTCACACTGGTGCTGGTGCAGATAATGTACTCGATTTCATCTGAGTAAGGGTTCTGGAAAGTGAACGAGCTGGTTCTCATCCAAAGCCATTCCCGGTTCTTAGATCGGAATCGGAACATGACAGACAGCACCTGGCCTTTCAGCTTCACCACCTGAAAGGGTTTTCATCATCAGTGGACTTTAAAAATAGAAAATTAAGTAATAATCTTCCCACTCGAAGAACCTCAGGACTCTTAGTTACTACCCTTGAAGCACCCATGTTTTTTAATGGTCAAACAAGAGGGAGAGGAAATTAAGGGGACATATATCTATCAAGCTGCAGACTGTAAGACTATATAGTCAAGACGGAACACAGAGAAGACTGTCTCTGTATTTCCCTTGAGGTTTGCTGCAGACATAGTTAATTAACTGGCTTTGCAAGTCTTTACCAGGAATTTCAGTTTGGTGACACCAAATACATTTTATACATTACTATCAATCCCAGCTCTTTTACTCAAAACTTGAGAATTCTAGTTTCCACAAAACCCCTACAGGAAGCCTCAGTTTTATTACTGTTTTAGTTCCTGGTCTTATGGAACAAAAGACAATCTTTTAGTTCTCCATTTCTAATAATAGAGAATATTAGCAACTAATGCTTATTTTATTATGTGTCAAACACTGGGCTACATGTGCCTTATTAAACCCTCCCATGACCTTCTAAGTATCATTATACCCATAGTATAGTAAGATCACTATAGAGACAGAATTAACTTATAAAATATAAAGAACAGTTATCTAAAGCCAAGTCCATTATTTTCACCAATTTTCAGGAGCTCAGGTCTGAGAATTATGACTAGTTACAAGTGAATTAACTTTCAGTTACCTATAAAGAATCCGGGTGAAACTTCCCTGCTATATAATCTAAGGTCAGGGAAACAAGTAATACTTTAAATGATTTGAAGACAATTTCTTTAGATAAGGTTAATTGAATAGAAGACAATAAGTAGCTAAAGCCCAGTAGAAACACCTTGGATTTACCTAGTTTCAAAGCATTATCATTTTCTATTTCTTAAACTTAGTATAAAGAAAAGTACAGACTCCATCACAGTGCTTAAATGAACACTGATCAGTAAGTATCTAGAATAAACATAAGGAAATGATCACAATATGTACTCAGACCCAAACCAGGAGAAAGATTACCTACCTGTTGAAAGCTGTCTCTTAGAAGCTGTTGATCTTCAGGGTGACAAAATTCTACAATATTCTTCCCTAAGAGCTCCTAGAAGAGAGAAAAGTAAAACCCACAGTTTTACATCTGTCAGGTACAGATGTAAATGTTATTCCTTTTCTTTATCCTATTATAAACAGGTGTGTGGAGAAAAAAGTGAACAAACAAAAGAAGACAGAGCCAGAGCCAGAGAGGCAGTGCAGTGAGTCCTCTCCATGAAGACTGATGACCTGAGCTCCATCTCTGGAACCCACATGGTAGAGAGAACTGACTCTTAACTCCAGCTGCATTCTAAGGGACATGCATGTATACTTGTATTTGTAGACTGCAACAGAGCAATTAAAAATTAAGAGTTTTTTCACAAAGTCATCTTACTAGCTCTCTTAGTATCAGTTTAGAGGGGAAATTTCTTTTTTGTTTATTTGTTTGTTTGCTTTTATTTTTAAGAGGGGAAATTTTTTCCAGGCATATTCTATAAATCTCAGCATCTCAGGAGGCTGGTACAAAAAGAGTTCCAATTTTAGGCTAGCTTAGAAAGAGAAGATATCTAAGGAGGGGAAACAAAACACCAGACAGGAAAGGAAAGCTAAACTTGTAGATAACATTCATATCTGGCAAGCATGAGGACCTAAGTTTGGTTGTTAGAATACATGTTTTCAAGAAAGTGGGGGAACCCAGGTGAGGCAGTAGAAATAGCTCGTCCCTTAAGAGTGCTTCTTGCTCTTGAACAGATCATATACCAGGTAGTTAAAAATGAAGAACCAAGTTGGAGGATTTATAATCCCTGATCCAACAATTCCTATAAAGCAGTAGCTATCAAGACAGTGTTCTAACTACATAGAACCCAGTTCCAGGGGATCCAATGCATTCTTCTGGTCTGTGTAATACCAAGAAAACACATGATGCATACACACACACACACACACACACACACACACACACACACACACACACACACACTCAGGCACTCACACATATATGTAACATAAAAACAGGACTGTATACCTTTACTCTGAGCACTTGGGAGGCAGAGGTGGCATATCTCTTAGTTTCAGACCAGCCCGGTCTACTTTAGAAAGTTACAATACAGCCAAGACTACACAGTGAGATACTGTTTCAAAAGTAAAAATAAGAAGTAAAATCAACTGTGGTACATTCTCACAAACCCAGGGCAAATACAGCAGGTGGAGTTCAGAAGCCAGCAAGCCTAGACTGCTTTTCAGGTTCCAGAGCTTGCCTCAAAATGAAAAGACAAATGGAACCTGGTGAACCCCCAGATCATGCTCTGGCATGATCCTCTTATTTATATGTGCCCACACAAAGATTTTCTTCTAGAAGCTTATTTCCAACTTTAGTCCTTATACATTTAGGGTTTGAGTTAATTTTTGTCTATGGTATGATGAATTTTTTGGGGCAGGGACAAAGTGCACATGGACTCCAATATCTACACTACCATTTGTTAGAACTTTTCCACTTGAAATGTCTTGGCACTTTTGCTGAAAATCCAATGACCATGAATGTTAAAAAAAAAAAAAAAAAAAAAAAAAAAAAAGCTCTCTTCTGTCCACTCATCAGAATAGACAACTAGATTAATGCCTCCGTATATTAATGCCACACTTCCTTCATAACAGCTTTACAGAAAGTGTTGGATCAGGAATGTTAAGTAAATCCTTCAACTTTGTTCTTCATTTTCAAGACTTCTTCAGCGACCATTTCAAATACTTACAGCCAGGCTCGTACAGATCACAGAGGTCATGTACATAAATAACCTAAATAAGGGTTGTTACACTAGAATAATTAAAATAAGTAGTTCTGAATTATCTGTATTACTATCAGAAATACAAAGTAAGTATAAAGGCTGGGCAGTGGTGGTGCACACCTCTAATCCCAGTGCTTGGGAGGCATAGGCAGGCAGATGTCTGAGTTTGAAGTCAGTCTGGTTTACAAAACTACACAGAGAAACCCTGTCTCAAAAAAACAAAAAAGCAAAACAACAACAAATAACTCAAAAACCAAAGTAAGTATATATTTATCCCTACTATTTCCATGTGGTTTTACAAACTATATTTCTCTATATGGGGTGATAGCCTTGGTAGAAGTTGAGACTAAATTTTATTATTAGCAAAAAAGAGCATCTCTTTTTTTGAACTGGACTGCTATAGTTCGGTCATCCCTGGAATTAGATAGCCATGTGACCTCAACACTAGCAACAGAAAACAAAACAACACTGAAGTAACTGTACTCTCACCTGTGGCTGGTAGCCAACAGTAGCCACACAACGATGATCTACAAAAGTGAATATCCCCTCAATGTTGTGTCGGGAGATGAATTCTGTTGGTTGAGAAATGTTATTCATGTCTGTACAGTTGGGAGAACTGGTTACCTAGGAGTGGAGAGATAAAAATGAGCCAAAATAATTCCGTTACTTACAGAAACATTTTCTTCATGAGTATCTGCATAGATATGAGACTACCAGATTTAGGAACTTGTGTTTCACCCAGAAATGCAAAAATGGCAATCCCAATGAGAGACATAAAGTCTAGCTCTATTCTTACAAATGTTCTCGTTACCAAGTTAGTAATGTAAGAAAATAATGAATGCAACCATAAACAACTGACTTTTTATTTGGTTAGCCTGTGTTCATTATTCAGAATGGTTCAAGTTTCTGAGAAACTTAACTGTGTGCAGGAAAAGAATCAAAATCAAGGGGCTGAAGATGCTCAGTGGTTAAGAACACTAACTGCTCTTCCAGAGGTCCTGGGTTCAAGTTCTAGCACCTACATGCCAGGTCACATTAATACAAGTGAGTTAAATTAATTTAAGTTAATGTGACCTGCACAGTACCCACAAGGCAGGTTACATTAATAGAAATGGGTTAATTTAAGTTATAAGAGCTAGCTAAAAACAAGCCTCAGCTATTGGCTGAACTTTCATAATTAATAATAAGTCTGTCATTTTTTGGGAGCTTGCTGGTCGGACAGAAAAAGATTTGTTACATTTGATGTCCAACATGGGGACACGTATTTCCATATAGTACCTGAGAAAGCTTAAAAACACTGAGCCAGATACAGTTTTCTAGGAGGCTGCAGTGTAGAGAGATGTAGTTCCTGGCTATTGTCTGCAGGTTCGAGTCAGCCAACTACATGTGCAAAGCCACATGTTGGGTTTGAAGTTTGATTACATGGTCAGAGAAGGCTGCAGGTGCATGATAAAGTGGTCTGGATTGAGAAATCCTTTAAACAGTAAAAACTGGGGCAACTGGCAGGAAGAGGCAGGAGAGGATCTCTGTGAGTTCAAGACCAACCTGGTCTATAAAGCTAGTTCCAGGATAGGATCCAATGCTACACAGGGAAACCCTGCCTCAAAAAACCAAAAGCCAACAAACAAACAAACACAGTAACAACAACAAAAAAATGGTTATAGACTGTCAGAAAAAAACAAATAGTTAAAAATAAAAGTCTTTAAAGAAAGAGTAAAGTAATATAAAAGAAAAAAGCCACATAAAGATGGGAAACACACAGGGAATCTGGATCCTGTATGGTGCTTTGTTCACTTTGAATTTTGTGAATGCTGATAGCTGCTGAGAGACATTGGATTATGAAAGGGACTGCTGATTTAAACCAGCATAAACACTTTAGAGATGTCTTGGCTTCAGAATGGAAGTTGGGAAATGTGTTCCACAGGAAACAAAAAGTTATACTTCTCTTCAAAACTAATAAAGATCAGATTTGATTGGGGCAAGCTCCTGAAAATCTTGGCTGCAGACATGATGAAAGAAAGCAAGAAAAACTACAAGACAGGTGGCATATAACCTGATCCCTCTAGCTCTGAGACTGGATGAGACATGATAAATATTGTTGGCTACAGAGTTTTCATGACTTACTATTTTCATGCCATCTTTTCATATGGCATGGATGGAGGAGGTTTGGTTATACAGTCCAAATGGACTTATAAAGTCAACAGATGCTTTCTACCTGATCAAACATAGAAGAAAAAAAAAAAAAACTTTGATTGATTTGTGCGCACCACATACTCCATACTTATGTTAATGCAGATATATGTTATCTTGAAAAGTTTATGTGTTTTCAAAAAAAAAAAAAAAAAAAGGACCAGATATTAATGAAGACAAGCTGTCCAGGTAATCCAGCCTCTCAGAATACCTTTGCTGCAGTTTCCTCAAAATCCTGCATCCAGAACAGCTTCAAAGCTGCAAGCTGAGAAGGTCCAGTTTCACAGATTATCCAGCCAAGACTTCAGATAAGTTCTATACTTTCCCATCACAGAGAGACTAAACAAAAAATAATACAGATAGCTCTCCCAGGACTTGACCATCATCTTAATATTCTCAGGGTCCCCTAAAGATGCCATCACCCCTAGACGATAGGAAGCAGTCTAGGAAACATGATGCCCACATTCCAAAGAGGTACGGTGGGTGGTATTTGGTCATTTGGTGAGTTGTGGATGTTTGTCAACATTTAGGGAAGTTGATTAAGGGTGTTATTGGTCATGGTCAGGAAAAAAGCTGAACAATGGAGATCAGATTCAGGGATGTCTTTCTGCAGGGAAAAGAGGAATACAGTGTAGAAATGATGGGACAAAAGGGTGGGTTGTTGAGTCTACTTTTGAACAACCACTAGTCTCAAATATTTTTCATCAGTATGGGTTGTTGTATATTGATACAAATTTAATGTTATTTTTGTTATACTGTATAAATGTTTCTACTCTTGTTTAAGGTATGGTGTCTATGCAGCTCATTTAAAAATGTAAAGTTTTAATTCTTGAAAGCTATTTAAGATAATAAAGATTAGATAATAAAGATAATAAAGGTTAGAAGTTGGCCATCTATAACAATCAAACTTGCAGTCATATAAGGTACTTTTACAAGGTTAAACAGATATATTTAGATAGATGGTCTTCAAATATTTCAAAGACCTACAGTAGATGGAATTTAAGATGCTTTGCAACATAAGACTTTTTCTTGACAGCGAGACAAGCACCAATTTAGTCATCAGAATATGATGGGCATCAAAGAAACTCCATATAGAGTTTGCTTTCCTTATGACAAACAGCTAGCCATTTGGGCAAGAAACTGCCCTTGCCTCAATTGTTGACAGTATATTGTCCAAACTAGACAAACAGGACATAAAAAAGGTGACTGCCAAACTTTGCCAAGACAGGGTAGAACGGTCCTCCAAAATTCCCTGCTTCTCAGAAATGTCTGTCAGATATACTAGGCCTGTTTATGGAATTTTCCTATTTATTCACAGAGTAAAAGAAAATGTGAAGACTCATACTTGCCTGCAGCCTGCCAATAGCCACTAAGCAGAATTTGCTCCCCTGGCCAGCCTCTGGGTCATCATCTGGGAGGGATACACCTTCATGAAGGAAAAGAAGCATGACTCATATATATCTCAAACCCAAACCCCTTTAATGGAAAGTGATTACAAGCTCACCAATACATTTCTGTATGAAGATACTAAGAATAAAATGATTTTTTAAAAGGTAGTTATTATACAGACTTTATTATATGCTGTCATTGTTTTGTGTTTGTGCTTTTTATTTTTAAGACAGAATATAACTGTCTTAAATGGAACACTTGTATCTGTAACCTTGACTGTTCATTCTGCTTCCCAATGGTAGAATTACAGACATATACCAGCATACCTGGCTTCAATATTTTAATTGTAACAAATTGGAAAATACAAGCCCTAGCCAAAGTTATCTAAAGACATGAACTTTATATATGCTACGTGTTTATACACAGAGAAGTAAACATTCGTGACTTACCAGTGATTTTTTTTAAATTAACAAAAATTACATTATCCAAAGCACCAAAATATATTCATAATCACAGAAGAAGGGAAAGAGAGTGCATCCCTCACAATTTCACCTTTCATTTTGATCCAGGAAAAAACATTTTCTTGATAGCTATACAGAAATAAGGATCACAATACATTAACTGTATGATTTAATGTATATAAACTGACTAAAAAGTTCATGTGTCATTATGTATAATAGTTCAGATTAACTTTTTCAATTACAATAATTCCTATTTATTGGCTACATGGTATGTACCACGAACTAGACTGTGCTTTTCTTACACTATATCTAATTCTCACAAAAATGACATACCTGGTGCTTTATCTCAAGTTCTAGATGAGAAAACGCATGTGAAGACTAAGTAATGTACCATAGTTAAACTATTAATACAATGCCAGAAAGCAGTGTAAGACTTCCCAAATCAATGTTAATTTCATCTTAAAATATATGGGGGCTGAGAAAAGGCTCAGAGGACCCAGAGTCAATTCCCAGCACTCACAAAGCCGCTCACAACTGTCTGTAACTCCAGTCCCAGGGCATCTTATACCCACTTCTGGCCTCCATGGGTACCAGGCAAACAGATGGTCTCAAGACATACATGCAGACATAACACCCATACACATAAAATAAATAATAATTAAAACTTTTCTTTTCTCTGCATTTCTGGCTTCTGTAAATCCTCATTTCCCAATAATACTCTTCCTGTGAGGAAATAATAAGGTAAGATTTGGAAACCCTTGTCAGTCAATTTAATAAGGTGATCTTGCTAGGCATGGAGAATCAAGCCTGTAATCCTGGCAGTTGTGAGGCTGAGGTAGGAGACTGCCTGGAATTCAAGGTATTAAAACAAAACGAAAATCTGACCCACACACCCTACCATGTTTGCTACATCCCTTATTTAATCTCAAATTCAAGTTAAACGACACTACTTACATCTAGACTTTCAGGAGAAAAGCCCTCTTAAAGTTATTGCAACCAAACCATTTCCATTTACCCCCCAAAGACTCACTCCCATTTCAGTTTTCTAAGATTAAACCGCACTAAATTATAATGTTTGAAGCTGGACATAATGGAGGCACACCTTTAATCCTAACATTTAACCCTAACATTTAACAGGCAAAGGCAACTGGGCCTCTGTGAGTCTAAGGCCAGCTTGGTCAATATAAAGAGTTCAAGGACAGCCATGGCTACATAGAGAGACCCTGTCTCAAATAAAATAAAATAAAATAAAATAAAATAAAATAAAATAAAATTCCTGTGTTTCTTTGCCATAACTGCTTAAAGACATTGTATTCAATGTAAACTATTATTATGAATTTGTATATTTTAAAACTGTAAGTTACTTGCTTACTCATTTTGTTCTGTTTTTGGTCCTTACATATACCAGGCAACTACTCTATCACTGAGCTATTTTCCTAGCCCTAATAACTGAATTCTAAGCCACCTATGTTAATTCATGTTTAGCAGTTCCAGGAGGATGCTGAGGTGGGAAAATTGCTTGAACTCAGGAGTTCCAGACCAGTAATAAATATGTATCTATTTTATATGCTAGAAATATACAGGAGTAATACTAGCAATATACTTTAAATTTTTTATTTATTTGTGTATATATGTGTTTGCCTGTGTGAGTTTAAGGGTACCACATGTGTACAGGAACCTGCAGAGGCCAAAAGAGGGTGTCAGATCCCAAGGAACTGGAGTTGTAAGTGGTTATAACCCAACACATGGCTGCTGAGAACTGAATCCACGTTTTCTGCAAGAGTAGCAAGTGCTCTAACTACTGAGCCCTCTTTCCAGCCCCCAATGATACATTAAATAAATAAATAAATAAGCAAGCAGAAAGTGGTAGCATATCTCTTTAATGCCAACATGGATCTCTGTGAGTTCAAGGCCAGCCTGGTTTACAAAGTGAATTCTAGCCAGCCAGCGCTGATACACATAAAAACCCTGTCACAAAAACTGCCCCAGAGAAACCTTGTCTCGCCCCCCCCCAAAAAAAGCCTTATTTATTGACACTTTTCTAAGTACTACGTAATTTCCCTACCTGCTGGAGGCCAGGCCTTGATGTAGCCTGTGCAGTGGACTACCACAAAGTGGGGTTCTCCTTCCTTCACAGAGCCAAGTCCATTCCTATAAGAGTTACAGTAATCAGGGGGAAATTCTACAAAGTAAACTTATCTTATAAAAGCACTAAATCATTTTTTACTGCTATGTGTGTGTATGATATGTGTGGGATAGCATGTACCCCCTCAATCTGTGGAGGTTGGAGGTCAGAGGAGAGAACAACTCTATGGGATCTGTTCTTTCCACCCACTTTTTTGTGGGTTGTGAAGACTGAACTCAGTTCGAAACAAGTGACTTTATCTACTAAGCCATCTTGTAGCCCCAAAGTATTTTGTTTTATTTTTCCCTTTAGTGTTTGTTTGCTTTTTGTTTTGTTTTTCCCTTTAGTTTTTGTTTGTTTTTTGTTTTGTTTTTACATTTGCTTGTTTGTTTATATATGTATGTGTGTGGGTATATGGAATCAGAGGACACCTGTGGGAGTCAGTTCTCTCCTTTGACTATGTGAGCACCAGTTGTCAGGTCTGGCACTGATCACTTTTATCAGATGAGCCATCCCAAAAGCCCACACAAAGCAAATTTTAAAGGGAAACAAAGCTAAAGTACCCTCAACTTTAGCTTCTTGGATATTCAGAAAAGTAATCACTGCTTGCCCCTTCCCACCCAAAAAAATAACCAACTTTTTAGTCCATGTTGAAGTAAAACACAAAAAAAAAAATAAGAACAGAAGAAAAATAGGTAAAGTAGTAAGCAACTTTCTTAAACAGAATGTGCAAGAGAAGCTTTTCAAGTTCAGAAACTACAGGGCAGTCAGTGTGGTGCACATCTTTAATCCCAGCACTCAAGAGGCAGAGGCAGGCAGATCTCTGTGAGTTCAATGCCAGCCTGGTCTACAGAGTTCCAGGATAGCCAGGGCTACACAGAGAAACCCTGTCTTGAAAAACCAAAACTAAGTAAATGAAAAGTTTAGAAACATTGCCAGAAAATAAATGACAGTGAGGTAAAAGAAGAGAGAGTGAGAGTTGTTAGAGAAAGTAAGAAACTCCATCTCTTGGTTTTCACTGCTTTGGATTTTACCTGCATCTATTCCTCAAAAAGCTCAGTCTATTCATGGAAGCAGGGTCCACAGAACTATTGCCACACCTGTTTTAACAAACAAAAAATAAAAGTTGCAGGGCTACGATAAATAAGCAGGATAAGAGGATCCAACTACACACATTAAACTGGCAACAAGAAAGTCAAGCTGAGCTTGTGAAACTTTCTATTGTTTTTGTTTGTTGTTTTAATTTGAGACAGCACCTTCAGGCCTAGGCTGGCCTGGAACCACCTAAGTAGCCAGGAAGTACTGTGAACTATTACAGGCATGTACCAACGTATCAGGTTTTATATAGTGTTGGGTACTAAACTCAGAACTCTGTGCATTTTAGACAAGCACTCTACCAAAAATGCCATATCCCTAGACCATTTAAAAACTTATGTATGTATGTATGCATATATGCATGCATGCATTATGTATGTATGTAAATATAACGTATTTATTTGGGATATATGTATCACTATGTACACGTAAAGGACAAAAGACAACTTAGCAGAGTTGGTTCTCTCTCCATTATGTGGGTTCCAGTAATCAAACTCATTGTTAGGCTTTCTTCCAAGTTTCCTTACTCACTACGCTACCTCTATGGTTGCCAACCCACAGATAGGGTCTCATGCAGCACAGAACGACCTCAAACCCCTTATCTGACTGTCTTTAACTCCCAAGTGATGAGATGACAACAATAATTTAGTAGACTACTTAAAAAACGTCAGGGCAGAGGGAGCTGGAGAGATGGCTCTTCCAGAATCCTGAGTTCAATTCCCAGCAATTACATGGTGGCTCACAACCATCTATAATAAGATCTGGTGTCCTCTTCTGGTGTGCAGAAATACATGCAGGCATAACACTGTATTCTTATAAATAAATGTATAAGTAAATAAATTTTTTAAAAAATCTTTTTAGAATATTAAGACTTTTGTGAGCCTGGTAGTGGTGGCACATGCCTTAATCCCCACACTTGGGAGGCAGAGGCAAGTAGATCTCTGTGAGTTCAAACCCAGTTTAGTCTCTAGCTCAATTTCCAGGACAGCTAGGGTGGTTACACAGAGAAACCTCATCTCAAAAAAACCCAAAAACTCCAAAAACAAACAAAAATCTGAAAAACATAGCCAGTCAGATGGCCTATTGGAGAAAGGCACTTACCACACAAGCCTTCTGACCTGAATGGAATTACCTCAACCCACATGGTCAAAGGAGAACACCACCTCAAACAAGTTTGTATTTCAACCTCCACACACATGAATATACATCCATATATCATGCACACACAAGGTATTGTTTTTCTAATATAAAACAACAAAAATGCCTGTAATCCCAGCACTTAGATCCTGAAGCATGTCGATACTGAGTTTGATGTCTGAATATATATAAATGGTTGAGGGGAAGGTAAGGTTATCACTCATGCCCTTTCAACCTTGATTTTTGAGGCAGGGTCTCTCAATAGGACCCAGGGATTATCAATTTGGCTAAGCTTTTCCAGAAATGGGATGAGCAGAGAGACCATGTCTAGCTTTTTCTGTAGGTTCTGGGGATTCAATTCAGGTTCTTCATGCTTGTGTAGCAAACACTGAATACTGAGCACATCTCCTCAGTTCTGAATCCATTTTCTTTAAAGATTTTTATTTTGTGTATAAGTGTTTTTCCTGTGTGGCTTATGTGCACCATGTAGGTGGCCTGTTGGCCAAGAAGGTCAGACAAGGATATCAGATTCCATAGAATCTGAGTCACAGATGCCTGTGAGCCTCCATGTGAGCACTATAAATCGAACCTGGGTCCTGTGGAAGAACAAACGCTCTCAACTGGTAAGCCATCTCTCCAGGACCCGTTTATGCGTATGGTGTTTTGCCTGCATGTCTGTGCACCACTTCCATGCCCGGTGCCCACAGAAGCCACAAGAAAGCATCAGGTCTCCTGGAACTGGACTAACAAGTAGCTGTTAACTACCATGTGGTATTGGTAATGAAACTGGGGATGGAAGAGCCCTTGAATCCCTTTTTATAATCAATAAAATAGCAACCATGAATCTTACTTACCCTATGGACAGTTGTGAAAATAAAGTAAGAAGACAAAAATAGGAAGAAACGAAGGGCCTACCAACTGTGCCTTAAGAGTAATTCTTTAAGTGTTGTTTCTCTTACTAAGTACTATATTAGAACTATGATAGAACATCTGGTTCTTGAAGATTAAATGTAATCCAATTGTGGTCAGGAATATAGCTCTAGAAATTAAATGTTAGTGCCTTTGACAGAAATGTAAGCCTTAGCTGCTTATTATCCCTACCCCAACACAATGCCAAGCTTCATACTCACCTCATTCGACAAATAAAGGATCTTCTTGAGCCCATACACATCCTCATGGAAGATTGTTGACCTTCCTTTTTCACTGTGCCAGTCTTTAGATCCAGGATTCGCCCTGGAGAAGGATGTGGAAAGCAATCTGAAGTTAGTTCTTGTGCATGGGAAAGGGAATAGACACAGGAGGCAATGGTCAGGGTCCACCCTGGCTCCCAGCCTCCCTGTTCATAAAGAGATGTTTTTTTGAGCCTTAGCTACTTCCATTCTCATCTAGGAATCTCACTATTAGCTCTATGATGGCACTAGAAATGTCTCTGGGTAAGGCATAAGTGGAAAGTACTTTAAGGAAGCAAGAGGCAAAGTATATCTTTTTGTTGTTTCAAATAACTTTGTATTTTGTGGGCATTGGTGTGGTGTCAAATTCCCTGGAACTGGAGTTAGAGACAGCTGTGAGCTGCCAGTGGATGCTGGGAATTGAACCCGGGTCCTCTGGAAAAGCAGCCAGTACTCTTAACCGCTGAGCCATCTCTCCAGTTCTTTTTGCTGTTGTTGTTTTGCCTTTTGAAACAGGGTTTCTCTGTGTAGTCCTGGCTGTCCTGGAACTCACTATGTAGACCAGGCTGACCTCAAACCCAGACATCTGCCTGCTTCTGCCTCCTGAGTACTGGCATTAAAGACATGCACTACCATGAATGACCAAGCTAGGTGTATTCTCATCTTCTGATTGTTTTTACACTATCTTATTATTTTGCTGTTGTTCATATGTGTCTACTCATATAACATGGAGGTGAGAAGACAACTCTGTGAGTTTTCTCCTCCACTCTCACATAGGTTCTATTGATCAAGCATCGGTTGCTGAGCTCACAGGACAAGCTCCTTTACCCACTAAGCAACCTAGCCAGTCTACTATTTAACTTCAAGCTGGGAGTGGGGTTTAAAACACTTAATTTTACATGCTAAGAAACATATCTGTCTGAAAACAAAACTGTTTCTCTCCTTTATTTATTCAAAACACAAACAGCAGTAATCTTTGGGGAAGCAGAAAACTAGAGAAATGAAATGTACATAAATCACAAAAGAAGGGAAAACTAAGAACTGAAATTAATATGAACGTGTCCACTGCAGAGATACTGGAATTTCTTGCATTTTAACTACCAGTTATTTGTTCTCCACTTTGTAACTTCCTATACAGTCACCTAGAACAATTGTGACTTATTCCTCTACCCAAATGTTAGCAAAGGACTGAATCTCCTTTTAACGGGTGAAGGGGAAATGACACAGTAAACATACAATGACAACAACCAAGACCTTTATACACTGACCAATAACAACTCTCTTACAGAACCTAGCACAAAGTCAAGCACAGGTAATTCCTTTATTATGTGGACACAGGGGAAAGAAACTACTGTATATTTTAATTTCCCTACTTTATTTACAGTATAATTAAGATACAAATTAACCCAACCACTGATGAAACATTTTCTAAGAATGAGCCACAGAGTAGATATTTTACATGTGAACAAAATTTAACAAGTATATTCATTAAGGAAAAATTTTTATAAGCTCTACCAGATTCAACAAACCAATGTAAGTGCTTAATTAAATGTTACTAATGCCTCAGCAAAGTGAAGACTTTTCTTCCCCCACTCATTTGCGATCCACCCAACTCTCACCTGTCAGGGCATTTTCTGAAGTAGAAAGCTGTTCTCGAAGTTTATCCACATCATCTGGGTGCACCTGATCATAGAGTGTACTCCCAAACCATTCAGACTGCGGTTGGTTCAAAACAGGAGTCACTGAGTCAGAGACATAAACCACCCGGCCAGTCTCACATGAGACAATAAACAGAAAGCCATCTGCTGCCTCCAAGATCAAATGTTTCAGTTCCTGGTCAAGAAAATAACTCAAAGTTAATAGTGAACTCTGAAAAACTATATATATATTTCTAGTCATGGGAAGCAGCAAGACTCTCTGGTCTTGCTCCATTAGGAATTGAAGGTCATATCTCAGCCAAGCCATGGCTTCCCACCATAAATACCCACTGGCAAAGTTTTTTACAATAAGTATTCTATTTCTCTAAGTTGCTAGCCACCTCGTTCTCTTAACACTTAAGGGAAAATAAAAAGGTTTACAATGATGAGATTTTCAGAGGGGGACAGGGATCTTCTGGCCTTGGACTCATGACAATCATTTAGCTTCAGCTTCTCAAGGACTGGAATTAGAACTAACACATCTAGCTAATAACTAGCTTAAAAACAACAACAACAACAGACAGGGTCTCATGTACATCAGTCTGAACTCAAACTTGCTACCTAGTGGTGGATGATGGTGAACTCCTCATCATCCTACCTCCACCGGGTCCTGGGAGTACAAGTGTGCAACACCACCCTGATTGTATGGCTGTCAATTGACCACGGCTTTGGGCACCCTAGCTCCAACTCTGTCAAGTGAAGTACACTCCAAGCCTCCAACAGCAGACTTGTTGACCCCATCCTTTCTGTGCTCCTTTGAGGATCGCTTCCCTTTCCCTCTCTCCATTCAAGCTTATGACACAAACATTTCCTAATTCTATACAAATCTTCCCTCAATTTGTCCAGAGTATGTTATTATTACATTCAAGGATTTAGGTTTTAATTTTTAGGCAGTAAGGAACCATAAACACATAATTAGATTACTATCATTTTGAGGGTAGATTAAAGAGGATAAAAGCAGAGTGATCATGCTACACTCAATGGTCCTATTCTCTTTTGCTTGTCAATTATTCTCAACCTTCACTCTAAACCATCATCTCTGTTTTGTTGTTTTAAGTGATTTACTTGCATCTTCCTGATTGCCAATTCAGGTCCTTCTTCTGGATCCTCATCATTTTTTTATATTCAATCTCTCTCCACAATCTGCTAATACTATCGAACTACACTCAATAAATGTCCTTCTTACTTAGCACCTTCTGAAAGTCCATTTCTGCTCCAAGTTCTCTCCCTTAGTTCACATGTTATATGTAGACATTTCTTAAGTCCTGTTCTCTGATCATCTTCTCTTTTCAGAATCTATACACATGCTTCCACACCATGAAATAAAACACAAGCCCAAAGCTGGGCATGGTGGAGAATGCCTTTAGTCCCAACACTCAGGAGGCAGAGGCAGGCGGATCTCTGTGAGTTCAAGGCCAGCCTGGTCTATAGAGTAAGATCCAGTACAGCCAGGGCTACACAGAGGAGCCCTGTTTTGGAAAAAAACAACAAAAACAAACAAACAAACCACCAAAACAACAAAAAGTCAAGACAGGCCACCATGCCCTTCCCCCAATAACTTTCTGATTTACAAGTATCATTTAACTGAAAGTAACTCACAGAGATGGCCTGTATCTTGACTGCTGGGATTAAAGCAACGTGCCACCATGCCCATCACCTAATTCCTTTTTTTCTTTATCTACACTCCTATAAGCCTCATTTATTGTTCCTCTGTTATAACACTAGCTTTGTTATGAGTTATCAACTTACATATCTGTTTCTACCCACAAAGTATCTGATTTGCCACAAAAGGAGCATACCTGGAGTTTGTTTAATCAATACCGGCAACTATTCTGAGGAAGTAAACTGAGTAGTCTATGTACATAGCTATTAAATGTGCTTTATGGGCTAGCAAATATACCATCCTATTTGGAGAATTTACTCCTTTCTCTCAAGCCATATTCCTATAATTCTTAGAAAATCATGCTGATATTACATTAAATGTCCTTTGCCTTATTCTTCATATGCCTGTACTTTCTAAAACTTCCCACAGTAAACACACATTGCATGTATATTTATATTTATTTTAGATAAGGTCTTATGTATACCAGGCTAGCCCTGAGGAGGATGACCTGAACTTCTTACTCCTACCCTAGGGCTGAAATTACAGGTTATGGGGTACCACATCCAGTTGTATATGGTGTTGAGGATCAAATTCAGGGCTTTGTGCTTTCTAGGTATGAGCTATCATATATCTTTTTTAGTTCTGAAACAGGGTCTTGCTATGTAGCTATGGCTGGCCTGGAATTATCTATGTATACCAGGCTGGCCTTGGCTTCCTTAGTACTGGGATTAAAGGTATGTACCATCATACCCTGGCTGATCACAGATTTTTAATTGAAATGAATTTGTTGGCTTCGGGTCCTCTCATTCAAGTATAGAGACTAAACAAATTTAGACAACCCACTGTTATATATTTATCACATATAAAATATTAACAAGCCATATGGTCACCATATACCTCTTTCCACCATTTTTCATTTATGTATTTTACCACTTACATATTTACTATGTTCAAATTTAGGTCTTTCTTCTGGCAGTAGTGGAGATTGAACCTAGGGCCTCCAGCACAGGAGGTGAGTGCTCTACCAATAAGCTACAGCCATAGCTCTTAGATGGAAACCTGGGTGATGGGAAGTATTTGTGCAGTCTCTGTTTTCATATAAATAGCAAATCTAACAGAACAAATCATGGAGCAACAGGGACTGCCTGTTAGACTTCTCTTAAGACGGGAAGTTGCTTCAAGGCTGAGACAGTTTTCTTTCATGTTCTAGAATCCTGAACCCAAGGAATCCTTGTTCCATGAATGTGGTAACTTCTCTGAAATTGCATCCTTCTTTTACTTCACAGGCTGTATTTATGACTCAAATTAGAAAATACCTAAAATCTTGCTAAACAGTTCTCACAATTCTTGTCTACTTCTCACACCCCATACTTAGTTACAGTCAAGGACTGAGATTCATTTTTCCATGTGGTTTGATGCTTCCTGAATACACAACCTCCTGAAGCTGGGTCACTGTGGGTGGAGGTAGATACAATATATGAGTTCAATGTCACTGTTGACAGTATAGTGAGTTGGAGGCTTCATGAGACCTTACCTCAAAAATAACAAACAAAAATCCCACTAGATTAATACAAAACTTTCAACATATATACCCAAGAGTCACTTTTAAGTTCCAGAGACCTGATCAGTGAGGAAAGATGGCTTATAGGAACCATCAGTGGATGTGTTGCCAGTTCCTCTCAAGGACTTCATGTGAGAAACGGCCATTCGTAAGATGGTTAGCTTGTCTGGTTTTCGAGCCAGGGCACTACAGGTAGGTACCATGTCCGACAGTTCTGTGATGTAAGCTGTCATCTTGTTTCGTCGTCGTCGTTCTATTTCACTATGATTTTCCCTGCATGGAGAAAGAGAGAGAAGCTCCGTTCTAGATGGTCACATCTGGTCCTTTAGTATTAGGAGAGTAATATGGACACCGGATCAGCTGCTGAAAGATGCAGTACTTAGGTTTGATGAAGTTCAAGTCTCAGAAGCCAAGATAGTCAACCTCATGCAGAGAAAGCATGAAACAAACTAACAAAATCTAGACAAAGAACAAGCATATAATGCCTCTCCAGGAAACCACTTCCTCTAAATTACCATTTCTTCATAGTAAAGAAATGTTTTTTAAAAATAGTAGTTAAAGATGGGTGTGGTGGTGAATGCCTTTAATCCCAAATGTCAGGCAGATGCAGGCACATCTCTGAGTTCAAGGTCAGCCTGGTCTGCAGAGTGAGTTCCAGAATAACTCTGCCTCAAACAACAACAACAAAAACAAACAAACACAATAATAATATTTTTTTAAATATTGATTTCATTTATTTAAGTTTCTAAGGGGGCAAATCTCAGCTTCAATGACTACATGTTTACTAATTAAAATACCTAAAGGCTAGAAAATACAATGACCAACTTTTGCCAATTTAAGAAAGTAGATCTATAGCTTATGAAAGAAATAACAGTACAGAGGCCAGACATATATAATATGTGCTTACAACCCAGCATTTAAAAGACCAAAGCAAAAGAATTTTAAGTTTGAGGCCTGTCTGGGCTATACAGCAAGTTCTAGGGCAAATTGAACTCTTTAGTGATAGTCTATTCTAAAGAACTAAATAAGGCTGGGCAGTGGTAGCACATGCCTTTGGACCCAGCACTTGGGAGGTAGAGGTACACAAACCTCTGAGTTCAAGGCCAGCCTAGTCTACAGAGTGAGTTCCAGGATAGTCAGGGCAGCACAGAGAAACCTTGTCTTTAAACAAACAAACAAATGAGGCCAGGCCTGATTATAATCCCAGCAACTGGGAAACTGAGGTTAGAGGATCATCATGAACTTCAAAGTGAGTTTAAGTTCAGCCTGGGCTACATAGTAATATCAGTCTCAAAACTACCTCTGCACACCCCACCACCACCACCACTTGTTTAAAGGAAGAGAAGAAAAAGCAGCAGCAACTACTACCTCAGACTGGGAGTTTAGTTCAGGTGGTAGAGTGCTTGTCTAGCATGCACAAAGCTCTGGGTTTGATCTCCAGTAGCCCATAAAACAGGTGTGATTGTGCAAACCTGTTAAAAGTTTAAGTTCATTTTCAGCTATATATCAAGTCTGGGGCTAGCCTGGAATAGGTAAGACTGTCCTTTAAAAATAAAAAGAAAGAAAGTGGGAGAGGGAAATGGAAAAGGGAGACCATGTATGGTGATATCTGCCTTTAATCCCAGTACTCAAGAAGTAGAGGCAGGTGGGTGTTCCAGGACAGCCAGGGTTACATAGTGGGACCTTGTCCCAAAAAGGAAAAAGAGGGGAAAAAAAAAACATTAAGTATAAATTCTCTTAGTATATTAAATGCTGCTTTGTTGTAAGTTTCTTATGACATTAAAATGCAGAATTGAAAGAGTCTAGAATTGTATTTGTTACGCTAATGCACAAAATCCTACCTTCTTTTCTGGGTTTGGAAGTGCACTGAACTGAAGAGAGTACAAGTTATTATGTGGCTCCTCAGACTGGGCAAAATGTATGGAGGGAGCAAGAACAGAGTAGAGGGATATATAACTGAAAGCATGGAAATAGAACTTGGATTTCACCAGGGTAACAGAGATTTCAACTGAGATAACAAAGGTCTTAAAACTGAGGCAGAATTACTATATAACTGTTAAAGAGGAATAATCTAAGAGTTGACAATCAGGAATTCTAGAAAGCTAAAAGGCTGCTCAGGGCTTGTATGAAGTTTCCTCAAAGAGAAAACTGAACAGACTGCATTTCAACTCTTCAGCTTTATCACCTTTATGTACTTCTTTTTACCACCTATGGATCTATTCTGTAGAGAAACACACCCACACACACGCACACACCTAACACCAATGTCCTTGTTATAAAATGAGCCAAATGAAGTCAAAGGATTAAACGGCTTTCCCAGAGCTGTCCTCCTCCCCAATGCAATGCTTTCCTCACCGCCACCATGCTGACTCAGGTGTCTGAGGGTAAAAGCATTAGTAGTAGTAGGAGGAGGAGGAGGAGGCATGGGTTGAAACAGCCACAGAATGAATTTGTGATCCAGCTTGAAGAAGTAATACAAGGAGAAAATGGTAAAAATATCTGTATTAACGACCCAGTTACTAGTAAGCATGCCAAGTCAAAGACTAGAACAGCAAAGTTTGGGCATAAAGTAGTACTCTGTACCATGGACAGTAGCCTGAAGAGAACTAACACAGGGAGTGGCACTGCTCACCCACAGCACACAGAGCTCTAAATTCAAGCCCTAGTACTCCCTCAAAAGGAAATCTGACTGTAGAGATTATTTACCTGGAAATGATGGATGGCACGTACCTGCAATCCTTGCACTTGGGAGGCAGAGGCAGGAGAATCATGAGTATAAGGCCAGCATAGGTTCATAAGAGACCCTGTCTTGAAAGAGGAAAGAAGGACTGATTCTAGAGTCTCTTTCCAAAATACAAAAAGATCCCACTTCATAGGTTCACATTTAGTTACTTTGCCTAAGACATAGAAAAAAATTATTCTCAAATTTAAAGTACCCATTTTCTTTGTATATGACAAACTTGAGACTGACATCCAGAAAATGAATGTGTGTGGGTGTGCATACTGCGAGAGCATGAGTGAGCACACAAGTGCAAGTATGTGAAAATCAAAGGATAGTTTCAGATGTTAGTTCTTAAGACACCCTCCTCCCACTTGTTTTCTGAGACAACAGGCTCAACTACTAAGCTAGCACAGCTGCCCAGTGATCTGAGGGATCTGCCTGCCTCTGCTTCCCTGCTGTGCTAAAATTACACTCATATGCAGAGTTGTAAATGCACACCCTCCTTTTTAGTAGGTTCTTGGGATAAAACTCTGGTAATCATGCATACACAGCAGGCACTTTATAGAATAAGCTAGCCATACGAAGGCAGATAAACTTTCCTCAGAAATTATAAGGAATCAGTCTGACAGAGTCATCTAGTTTGTAAATCTATAGAGGGAAGTTCAGGGTAAGTGCTATGTCCTAAATACTAGGAACTATGGCAATTATAGGTGTTCTGTTTTCCTGTTAAAGCACCAATGGACACAGCTACATTCTTTCTTTCTTTCTTTTTTTTTTTCTTTTTAAAGATTTATTTATTTATTTGTTTATTTATTTATTATGTATACAGTGTTCAGCCTGCATGTATCCCTGAGGGCCAGGAGAGGGCACCAGATCTCATTACAGAAGGTTGTGAGCCACCATGTGGTTGCTGGGAATTGAACTCAGGACCTCTAGAGGAGCAGCCAGTGCTTTTAACCGCTGAGCCATCTCTCCAGCCCCTGTCACATTATTTCTAAAGCCTTTTCAATCTGTGAATTTAGTGATAAGATAAAGAGAAAATAAAACAATTAAAATAATGAACACAGCAATTTCTTTTCTTTCTTTGTTCTTTTAGGTTTTCTTTTTTTGTTTTTGTTTTTTCTTTTTTTGGAGACAGAGTTTCTCTGTGTAACAGCTCTAGCTATCTTAGAACTCACTCTGTAGTCCAAGCTGGTCTCGAACTCAGAGATCCATCTGCCTCTGCTTCCCGAGTGCTGGGATTAAAGGCGTGAGCCACCACAGGTAGAATTAAGAGTCTGCCACCACTGCCAATCTTAATCACTTTCTGATGGAGTAGCCAGTTCCTGTGATAGCCAAACTTGTAAAAATGTACGTCCTTTTTGCCACAGATAAAAGAAAATACAGAAAGGGGAAGAAAAGATGGGTGAGACAAGGGTAAGAAGAGCAGCAGCATCTGCTTCATGCTAAACATGGTTCCTACCTGGCAAGTCTCTCTTTATCCGCAGAGCTCTGCTCATCATCCGACCTAAAAACAGAATTGATGAACTAAGCGAAAATTAAAATAAAAAGAAGGAAAGAAGAAAGGGTGGATGGAAGGGAGGGAGGAGAAATGAAATGCAAATGGAAAGAAAGAAAAGAAATAAAATGGATACAGAGAAAAGGGAGGAAATGGCAATACAAGCAAGAACCTTGCCTATAATCTACAGACCATATTTTTTTTAAAAGTAACTTATAAGACAAAAGTCAAGGCCAATTAGGAACTAACATGATCTCAACACACACACACACACACACACACACACACACACACACACACACACACACACAAAAAAAAAAAATTTTGTCCAACAATCTCTATAGAGACCAAAGATGCAGAATTTGAACAAGAGCCAACCAGGGAACTCAGGATGATCATTCTTACAAGCTGCTGCCAATTTGGGAACAAAATCATACTCACACACAATATTCTATAGTGACTAAATTAAGGGGTTTCAAACAACTAATGAGAAATGTAATTCCCTAACATAAACACACACACACACACACACAAGTTATGACTGATTTTCCCATTGTAATATTTAGTGTGTCTGTGTGCATGCACACAGAAGTTAGAGGACAACTTGTGGAAGTCTGTTCTCTCCTTTCATCGTGTGATTTTAGGGCTAGAACTTTGAGTTCTCAGTCTTGGTGATAAGAGTTATATTCTGAGCCATCTAGCTGGGCGTGACCAGATGTTCCTCATAAAATTATATCCTCAAACCAAGAGCTATGTTTCTTACATATCCTCTATCAATGGCATATCCCCAATCTAATTAATTCTGGTTCAGTTACCTTAGCACCTTTTCTGTAGTTTAATCAGTATCAATTCCCTTGGAAAAAGACAAAAGTTAACACTAAATTCTTCCAGAAAACCAAGATACTATTAAGAATGGGTGGCAGAAGCCAGGCAGTGGTGGCACACACCTTTAATACCAGCACTTGAGAGGCAGAGGCAGGTGGATCTCTATGAGTTCGAGGCCAGCACCTGGTCTACAAACTACAAAAGAGAAATCCTGTCTCAAACAAAAAAACAAAACAAAACAAAACAAAACAAAAAAAATGGGTGATAGGGGCCAGGTATGGTGGTACATGCCTTTCATTTTAACACTTGATGAGTTCAAGGCCAGCCTGGTCTACATAGTAAGCCCAGGATAACCAGGGCTACGTCGAAAGGCCATCTCAAAAGACTCACCCCCAAAAAGGGGGTGGAGGGTAGCAACTGAAAAATAAGGTAATATCTAATTTACTGCCTAAGTACTTACTTTAAGAGAGACAAGCATTAAATAAATTATCTAAGTAAGGCATATTAACAGATCAAAAAGTTTTTTTAGCTATTAAAAATGGCAACAATGGGGCTGCAGAGATGGGTCAATAGTAAGAGCACTGAGGTTCCCAGAGGAGCCTGGAGCCATTCCCAGGATCCACATGGCAATTCATAACAGTCTCTTGCTCCAGTTCTAGAAGACATAACGTCCTCTAGGGACACCAGGCATGCACATGCTGCCTGCAGAGACATACATACAGGCAAAAGAAATACAGATAAAATAAGTTAAAAAAAAATTTAAGATAATGACAAGGAATATGTATCTCAATGGTAGAACACATATGGACATGGGAACTGAGCAACAGGTCTGAGAGACTGTCTCATATACACAAAGACAACAAAGCCAGCCGTGCAAATAAAGTAACTTCTTAAGCCTTTGTCTTGGGATGGACAGAGTAGAAAGCAGGGGCCTTGTAGTCCCAGCTACTAGGAACAATGAGACAGGAGAACTTCTGTTCTAGAAAACTGCAAAAGAGCAAAACTTGAGCATAATAATAAACAATGAGCTTTATTATTATTATTATTATTATTATTATTATTATTATTATTATTTTAGCAACATATGGGAAAATTCCAGTGAAATGGAAACATAAAATCCCTGGAATCTTGGCACTGGGAAGGCAGAGATTGGAGGATTCCAGTGACTCATTGGTGAGCAGCTTAGCCAACTTGGTGCATTCCAAGGCAGAAAAGTGAGACCGTGTTTTGTCCTCCTGTCTCTACATGCATATATACATACTCAAAGAATGGTCAGTAGAAAAAGAAAGCTGACTGTGATAGTGTTCAACTTTAATTCCAGCACTCAAAAAACAGAGGCAAAAAGCCTGCAGGTTCCAGGAAAGCCAGGGCTGGTAAGATCTTAACTCAAAAAAAAAAAAAAAGAGAGACAAAGGAAGAAAGAGAGAGAGAGAGAGAGAGAGAGACTGGAGATATGACTCAGAAGTTAAGAGCACACACTGTTCTGGAAGAGGATTTGAGTTTATCTAACTCCAGGGAAATCCTATGGCTTCCATGGGCATATGCCCTTATATGCACATACCCACATGCAGTACCCACAAACATATGGCACAGTCAACTAATGTTTAAAGATAAAATCTTAATAGGTCTTGTTTTAAAATTATTTAGAAAAGCTTTTTTGCCTGGTGGTGGTGGCACACACCTTTAATCCCAGCACTCAGAAGGCAGAAGCAAATGGATCTCCAAGATCTAAATCCAAGGCCAGTGTAGTCTACAGAGAGAGTAGCAGAGCTACACAGGAAACCCTGACTTGAAAAACAAACTTAAAAAGAAAAAATAAATTTTTGTTTTAAAATTCCTTTTAATATTAATAGTCATAATCTCTTGTTTACTGCAATATCCCTGAACAGAATAGGACACAGGTAGATTAAAATACTCCAGGTTGTGTTCTTATAGCTTTCCAGCATTTCAATCATGAGACTGTGGACCTATACTATCTGCCTTAATGATGATCTGGTACTTGCTCTGTACTCCAGGCTGGCCTCAAACACAGAGAGATCCACCGGTGTGCTGAGATTAAAGCATGTGCTACCACTGCCCAGTTGCCAAATAACATTTTTTAAAAAAGATTAATCCATTTTTATGCATCTTTTGCTTGTATGTATACATGGGTGTCACACACATGCAAGGCCCATACAATCCAGAAAAGGGTGTTGGATCCCCCGGAACTGGACTTATAGATGGTTGTGAACCACCACATAGGTGCTGCAATTGAATCCCTGTCCTCTGAAGGAGCAGCCAGTGCGCTTACCTGCTGAGCCACCTCTCCAGTCCCTAACCTAGGACTTCTGATCTCTTGCCTCCACCTCCATAGCATTGAGATTATGAGTGTACAACACCACAACCAGTTTTATGGCTTGAGTTTTTAATAGAATCTGAAAGATTATTACCACATATTAATAATTAACTTTTCACTTTAGAGCTTATTTGCATCCTTAAATTTTCATTTATCTCAAGAGGCTTTAATAAGTACTACCTAGTGCAAAGGCCAGTTTTCTGTGCCCAGGCACTCATGATTTCACAGCTGTTGTAATAGTTCAGCAGCTCCTATCTACTATCTCCCTCTTTCTGCCTATTACTTACCTACTACCTATCTACGCATACTCTTTAATCAACCCTATATACTGCCAGCACTGTTCCTAAGAGTTTTAAACTTCTCTGCCTGATACTTCTTGGTTGTTTAGATCTGAGGCCTCAAAGTGGATTCCAGACAGGCAGGATCAGCAATGAATAAATACTATTAATACGTACTCACAGAAGGGCTGACAGAATAGTTCAGTGGGTTAAGGTGCTTTGCTGCCAAGCCTAAAGATCTGAGTTTGATCACTGGGACTCACAGATAGAAGGCAACAATCTACCCCAGAAGTTATCCTCTAAGCTCCACATGTGAGATGAAGCTCTCTCTCTCTCTCTGCCAATTAATTAATCAATCAATCAATGTAATAAAATCTTATATCAGCATTCACTGGGCTCCAGAAATAGCTCAATGGCTAAGTATGCTTGCTGCTCTTCCAGGAATCTGATGTCCTCTTACGGCCTCTTTTGACACCCACACTTACATTTATACACCCATACACAGACATACATAAAGCATAATTTAAATAAATAATTTTAAAGTACTCAATTAAATATAACATTTAAAAATAAAATTACTCGCCGGGCGGTGGTGGCACATGCTTTAGATCCCAGCACTTGGGAGGCAGAGGCAGGCAGACTTCTGTGAGTTTAAGGGCAGCCTGGTCTACAGAGAGAGTTCTAGGACAGTCAAAGCTGTTACAGAGAAACCCTGTCTCAAAAAAAAAAAAACCAAATCAACAAATAAATAAATAAAACTGCTCATTTTTGAGGCGTTACAAACTCAACTGTGTGTGTGTGTGTGTGTGTGTGTGTGTGTGTGTGAGAGAGAGAGAGAGAGGGGGGGGGGTTAAAGGGCAACCTCAACCTCAGGCCTATGCCTTCCACCTGGTCTGAGATAGTCATGGTTATTGTTTGCTGCTGCACACATCAAGTTAGCTGAGTCATGAGCTTCTGGCCATTCTCCTCATTCTTCTGTCTCTCAATAAGGAGGCACTAGGATTACAGGCTCTTAGGGTACCGTACCAAGATTTTATGTGGTTTTCAGGGATAAGCACTTTATACCTATGCTATCTCCCCAGCCAAAAAAGTCAGCATTTTCTAAATTTTTATTTATTATAATTATGTGTGTGTCTATATTATGTACATGTATAAGTACAGACACCAGGGTATCACTGTGTGTGTGGAAGACAGCAACTTTCAAGAATAAGTCCTTTCCTTCCTCAGTTGGATTTTGGGATTGAGTTTAAAGATTCATTATAAAAGTCATCCTTGCCTAACTTAATAGGAGAGGTTAAATGTTTGGTCCAGTTTTCCTTCCCAGATAAGTCTTTTCTTTCTGTCCCTGTTTGTTTTTAAAACTTAATACCAGAAAATGAGGGGTCCAAATAATGCCACCGCTCTTGAAAGTGAGTTCTTGGGAGTATGTCTGAAATTTTTTTATGATAAACATTTGCTGATCATGCATAGGTCCAATGAGTCAAGACAGAATTTTCAATGTGTGTTTGGCATTTGGGATCATTGTACTGAAGCAAAAACTCCCATTTAAGTTAGGTCCTTATGCAAGGGCTCAACCTGAACCTCTCTGGTCTTTGGGGACACATCACAGTCTGCTGGGCCAAGGGTACTGAGTGGCAAGAGGCACAGGCTTATACTTGGAACCCAACATTGTGGCTCCAAAGTATGTATGTATGTATGTATGTATGTATGTATGTATGTATGTGTGTATTTGTTTATTTGTGTGTATGTCTGTGCCTGTACATATGTATGATCATGTGCATTTGGAAGCCCCCAGAAACCAAAAGAGAATGTCAGGTTCTCTGGAGCTAGCGTTACAGGTGGTTATGAGCCATCATGTGCATTCTGGAAACAAAATTCAGGTCCTCTATAAGAGCAACAAGCATTCTTACCCACAGAACCATCTCTCCAGCCCATGCTCACTCTATCTATCTATCTATCTATCTATCTATCTATCTATCTATCTATCTATCTTTCTTTCTATCTATCTATCTATCTATCTATCTATCTATCTATCTCTTTTTAAGAATAACTCATAGCAATTATTTTTTAAAAGTAAAACCAGTATCTGGGTTGAGAAAGATTGGTCTTTAATAAAAAGTAATATAAATATATTTCATAATCTACTAACACTTATTATCCCCACCCCCCTTCTAACACTTATTTAAAGAAATTTAAGTTTATTATCTAGGAAAAAGAAAACTCATTTAAATGAGTAAAAACCATTTTCAATAAAAATTCTTCCATTATTTGCACCAATATAATAATATATATATCCAGGTGAACAGTAATGGTACACACCTTTAATTCAAGCACTTGTGAGGCAGAGGCTGATGGATCTCTGAGTTCAAGGCCAGGCTGGTCTGCAAGGCAAGTTCTAAGACAACCAGAGAAACCCTACATCGAAAATAAATAAATACACAAACAAACCCAAGAAGTCCATAGTTTGTATTCCTATAGATACAATAAGCATACTACTATAGTTTGCATACATGGGAAAAACACTATGTAAACATACACCACTAGTTTCACCTGAACATGCATATATTACAGGCTGCTTCAACACTTTCAGAAGAGGAAAGACACTAGCAGAGACATTCACTCTCATGTAGATAAAATTTAAATCCAACATTTAGACAGCTTGATTCCAAAACTTCTAGTATATTACCTGGCAAAGCGCTCTTTGTCATTACACATCTGTTCATCATCACATCTGAAAAGAGAGACAGCATGGAGAAGATTAGTTCAAACACTGAACTTATCTGTTCTGCTCTGAAATAAAACTAAAAACTAGAAGGAAAAATATGCAACAGGGAAAGAGCCAATGGACAAGCATCACAAAACAACAGATCCTCACAGCAACTGACCGAACTCTAAAAACTGGTGACTAACCAGGCAGTGGTGGTGCACACCTTTAATTCCAACACTGGGGAGGCAGAGGCAGGCGGATCTCTGTCAGTTTCAGCCCAGCCTGGTCTACAAGAGCTAGTTCCAGGACAGACTCCAAAACCACAGAGAAACCCTGTTCTGGAAAAACCAAATAAATAAAATAAAACAAAAGCTAGTGACTATTTCCTGTCATGTTTTTATGTTATCCTACACACAAAAAGATCATGTGATGAGAACATGAAATGTCACATGACCGTCCTCAAGTTGGGAAATTTTTTGGGTTTACTTGTTTGTTCCTGACCATTTTTGTTTGCTATTGTTGGTTTTTTTTTTTTTTTTTTTTTTTTTTTATTTATTTGAGATGAGGTCTCAGTTATGTAGCTCTGGCTAGCCTGGTACTCACTTGGAACTTTCAGAGACTCTTTTGCCTCTGCATCCCAAGTATCAGAATTACAAGTGTGAACCACTATGCCTGTCTCATATTGACTCATAATTTTTTAAAAATGTGCCTTAAAAAATATAGAACAATGTATGTATGCATTTTCTGTGTCCATTTTTCTGTGAAAACCAGGATTACTAATATGGATACTCAAACAAGTCCTTAAGAGCCTGCTTTAAGCTGGGTGGTAGCATGTGCCTGCAGCTCTACTGGCCCAGATACTTAGGTAGCTGAGGGAACAGGACACTTGAACCAGTCAAAGCAGTATAGCAAGACTCCACAGGGATAAAAGAAGATAGCCAAAGCCTCCAAGGATCAGAGACCATTCCATAAGGGGACAGAAACAATTTTAGAATTTAGAGAAGGGGACAGACTATTGAAGTACACTATCTTCTAGAAATACCATGACCAATGAATTCTTGAATTCATGGTAGCTGAAATTATGAGACCACATAAGACTGGGTCTATCAACATCTTAGCATAGAAAAAGGGAGGAATTCATAAAGCCTAAACCCTCCTTGAGGATCTATAACCAATTAGTAGTTGCTAGGAAAGATTGTCTTCAGTGTGTAGCCACAGGGAAGGTGTTCCTGTAAATAACCACTCACACATGCTACTGGAAGCAGCCCTAATGAAATGTTGAGCCCCCTGCCTCCCCTCAAAGTCATGAATGTAGAAGAGGAACTAGTTGGGAAGAAGAAAGGGGTTAGTGGGGAAAGGATGACAGAGGGTAAGGGGTGCAGGATGCAGATTCAAGAGGACAGTGACAGTTGGAGGTGAGCATGGTTGATACACCAAGTTTCAGGCCATCAAAACCAGACGTGTGTTTGCAACCACAGGGCAGATGTGGAGGCTGGAAGACAACTTGCAGGAGTTGGTCCCTTCCTTTTACCATGTGGGTTCCAGAAATGGAATGCAGGTCACTGAGTATAGCAAAAAGCACCTTTGCCAATGAACCATCTCAACAGCATGCTATGTTTACTTCTCTGTGTGTATTTTTGATAAGGCATCTTGTTATGCTGCTTGGGCTTGATTTGAACTCACAGTCTCCAAGTACTGGGATTATATGTATATGGCATCATACCCAGCTCAAAACTAATTAATTTAAGAGTTAAGCTGATGGCTCAATGATTAAGAACATGTGCTATTCATGCAGAGAACCCAGGTTCAGTTCTCAGAAGCCACATGGCAGCTTACAATTGTCTTTAACTCTAGTTTCAGGGTATCTGACATCTTTTGATCTCTTCAGAACCAGGCACACACACAGAGCAATACATACATGCAGGCAAAACATAAATATAAAAAAATATTTTAGCAGGGCTGTAGTGGTGCACATCTTTAATCCCAGCACTCAGGAGGCAAAGACAGCCGGATCTCTGTAAGTTTGAGGCCAACCTCAGGACAGCCAGGGCTACACTGAGAAACCCTGTCTCAAAAACAAACAAAATTTTTTGGGGGTAGGGATGAAGACTAGAACCCAGAGCTTTGAGATTTCAAGGCAAGTGCTTGACCCTGAACTCTTAACAACAGTTTAACTTTGAAAACAGCACACTGTTTTCCATTGTGACTACCATTTCCTATTACCACAGTATACAACTGTTTCAATTCTTCCATATTTTTAACAATAGTTGTTATTTTCTGGGGTTTTGCTTGTTTCTTTCTGAGACAAGATCTCACTACACAGCCTTGGCTACTGGGTTTCATCTACCCATAGCTCCTATTTTGTTTTGGTTTTGATAGTGGTTACAGGGACAGATATAAAATGGCATCTCTAGTATAGTTTTGATTTGTGTGTTTCCTAATGACTAGTGATGTTGATTTTTCATATGCTTGTTGGCCATTTGTATCTTTTCTTTAGAGAAATGTCTATCCATGTCCTTTGGGCATTTTTCCCCTTTCATTTTTAAATTTGTTTTTACTGATTTTGAAAGTAATCTATGTTTTTTTTTTTAACCAACCATTAAATAAAAACAAAACTATTCCCTAAAGCTTCTACTGAAAGCAAAGTTCACTGCTATCTACAAGATCACAAGGCTCCTGGCCACTGGCTCCTCTACTACCCTCCCATTCTGTGGCCCACAAGCAAGGACTTTAATATTCCCAACAATAGCCACATTCCTCCTATATTGCTCCCAGGTCTCTGTACTTCCCTTTCCTTTTCTAGGAAGGCTGTCTAGCTCTGAGCCAAACCAGACATCCCACTCCCCCCTTTTTCACCATTTCAGTCTCAAGATGCAGTGTGTCCTCCCCAAAGCTCCTGAGATCCTCAACCTAATACTGGCCCCTCAGTTATATAACAGCCGTCTGACTATCACTGTTCAACTGAAGCAATGTCATTTGTTTGCCTTATTACTGTCCTCCCAGCAAGAGCGATTCATTAAAAAATGACCACAAGTCAAAGGAGTTAGAAAACACCTCCAAACACAGTGCTCTAGCTTACTGATTACTCAGATCAGAAGGAATATGAAAACAAATACTGGAAAGTCAGGCATGTTAGGGCATATCCTTAGTCACAGAATTGGGAGGCAGAGACAGGCAGACCTCTGGGAGCTAAACAATCAGACCTATTTAAAACAAAACAACAAACAAATGTAGGGTAGGGAATGGCAGTTGAAGCCTGCAATCCCACCACTGGAAAAAGAGGCTCTTAGTGAGTTTGAGTAAAGCCTAGACTGTACAACTTTTTCCAGGCTTGCTTGGATTACAAAGTGGGGTTCTAACAAACAAAAGGGAACTGATGAGATGTTTCAGTACACAAGGGCATTTGCTGCCAAGCCTGATGACCTGAGTTCAGTCCCCAAAACCCATATGGTAGTGGTGGTGGGGTACCTATTCCTGCAAGTTATTCTCTGACCTTCATACATTTGCTATAGCACACATGTCCACATGCCCACAAAAGAAATAAATGTTTAAAACACACAGTCATACACCCATGCTGGCAACTTCTCTTATGGCTACCAATCCCCTCTAGGAAGACTTACCAACCTAGGAAGAGGAACTAAACCATAGCACAGGAGGTCAAGTGACAAATGTAAACCAGGCCAAGACCCCATTCAACTGCCCATTCATCTTATTCTTAAATCATCTCCCTAGGAGGAGAGCAGATAAACTCCTCAAATTCACTGACTGCAGCTTTGTTTCCCTGTGGGCCCCTAGGCTACTTTCAGAGTACATATCAACCTATCTGCTTGCCTCTCTTTCTATTTACCTGCCTCCAGTTTATCTCATCAACTCAGTCATCAAAATGTTGAGAGAAGAAAGGTCTTTCCTCCCCTACATTTGCAACAAAGGTATGCCTGTATAAGTTACTATCCACTGCCTCTCTGTGGATACTAACTGAACTGAATGAATAAAATTTGGTACTGGGAATCAAACTCAGGCCTTATGATATTAAGCACACACTGGGCTATACCTGTAGCCCCATTTTATCCACTCTGAAGTATCAAGAGGCACAGCTGATGTCATTTTTGTCTTTATTTTTTGAAACTGTCTCCTATGTAACCCAGAACTTACTAAGCTGCCTCGAACTGGAGATCTTTCTGCCTCTGTCATCAAGTGCTGAAGTTACAGGTACTTACCACCACTCTGTACTTGGCTATTTGATTTTCATCTTCTTATATAGACAAGGTTTGGCTATGTGGTGCAAGGTGATTTCAAATTTGGACCTAATTTACTCTCCTTGGGGTTATGTACCCACTATGTCTGGCTTACACAGTGCTGGGAAGCAAACCCGAAGCTTCACACATTTTAGGCAATCATTCTATTAAGTTGCAGCAAATTATTCCTAAATAAATATTTATTTCTATTTGTGTGTGCGCATGCTTGCCACATGTTTGGGTGTCTATGGAAACCAGAAGGCAGGATTGGATTCTTTGGAGCTGTAGTTATAGGCAACTGTAAGCTGCCCAATGTAGGTTCCAGGAACCAAACTCTGGTCCTTTGGAAGAACAGCAAGCACAGCTGAGCCATCTCTCCAATCCCCAGTCTTCATCTTAAATATTAAACCACTTTTCAATATTATGTCAGAACTGTAGTTCATTAAATATTCTAGATATCAATTGCTTCTAAGATATATGACTTATAAGTATTTTCTCCCAATTCTACATGTTACCTTTTCAGGACAACTAAAAAGAACTATTAGGAATTAAATTAAGTTTCACAAAATTGGCAATTCAATGATATAATGTTTTACATTAATGGTCTACAAATTGAGTTCCAGGACAGCCAGGGCTGTTATACAGAAAAACCTGTCTTGAAAACTCACCACCACAAGAGAGAGACAGAGAGACAGAGAGAGAGAGAGAGAGACAGAGAGAGAGAGAGAGAGAGAGAGAGAGAAGAAGGAGAAGAAGAAGAATTCTGTAATAAAGGGATCCCCAATAAAGCTATTTGAAAAACATCTATCTTAAGGATGGAGAAATGGAGAAACGGTTCAGTTGTTTAAGTGTTCGGTTCCTACCTTAACAGGGCCCCTGACCTAAGTACAACTGACTCCATGATGGAAGTGCCATTCAGGCTATAAAACTCAGTCCACAGACAACATCACCTGCCAAAACTAAAACAAAGGCCTAATCCATCAAAGTCCCCAGTTCTAGGAGTCTATAAATGTACTAACCTTGCTAAATTTTTAGCTTCTGTAGTCCTGTTTCTGGTTAACTGATCTTGTTAGTCTAGTTGAAGTATGCCAATGCAGATTTTTTGTGCTTAATCATCTCACCCTGAGAAAGGCTAAGTGCTACACTGGGATCCCAAGCACCCAGTGTAGCTGGCAGCCAGCTAATAAAGACTTTCTATTGGGTTAAATCCATGTCCAAGCCATCTTCTCTGGTGGACACATGGTCACCACAACCATCTGTAACTCCAGTCCCAGAGGATGCAGTGCCCTGTGTGGCCTCTGCTAGCACCGTATGCATGTGTGTCCAACAATACTTGCAGGCAAAACATCCAGACACTTAAAATATATAAATGTAGAAATAACAACAAAGTCTGTCTACTACCACAAAATTAAATCTTTTCCCTTCTTCAAATTTATTACGTTCCACGAAGTGTCAAGAAGAATTACTTTCAATTGCTGTGTTGGTTGGTTTTTGTCAACTTGACACAAACCTCTGAGAAGAGAGAATCTCAAATAAGACAATGTCTCCATCAAACTGGCCTGTGAGCAAGTCTGTAGAACATTTTCTTGATTAATAATTGATAAGATGGGCCCATCTCACTGTGGGCAGTGCCTCTTCTGGACAGGTAGTTCTAGAAATATCCGATGGGGAAGCAAAGGCAGGAATAGCTGATATCTTACATGTTGTTCCACAAACAAGAGACAGAAAGAGAACTAAGCCTTTTGAAACCTTAGAGAATGCCCAGTGACACGCCTCGTCTAACAAAGCCACACCTAACCCTTCCCAAACAGGTCCACCAAATATTCAAACATGCATACAAACCTACGGGAACATTCTCATTCAAACCACCATCCCTTCTCAAGCTCCAAGTTTTAGGCTGGTCTGAACCCTGCCACCCTGTACCACACACATACACACGTACATAAAAAACCTGTACCACACACATACACACATGTACACAAAAAACCTAAAAGATGAGCCAACAGGTACTAGAGTGTGACAGAGTAGAACATTATCAAATTATACCTTCCAACATCCACATCCTTTTGTAACCCTCTCCAACAGTGATGCAAGGCATGTATACACAAGCTGCTCACAGAAGCAGAGGCTTGTTAAGCACACTAAGACTTGCCCTTTGTATTACAGACATCACCATACTCTGCCCTGTTTGAAGACGAGATAATGGGAGTGGGAGGAGGCAGGATCAGAGGGTGAGGGAGAATGGAGAAAGAGAGAGAGAGGTGCAACTATGCCAGTTGAGTCTAACTTTAAATCAACCAGATGGCTGAGCAGTCTTACCATGAATTCAAGCAAGATTCAGTCAACCCACTGACTTGTGAGAACTAACCAATTGATTCTTTATTCTCCATTTGTATGTATATGCATGTTTGCATGTGTATTAGGCACAGGTCTGTGTGGGTACACATGTATGTGGATAAGCATGCATGAAGAGACCCAAGGTTGATGTGGAAAATGTACCTCCGTCTCTCTTCTGCCTTACTACATGAGGCAGAATTATTTCATCACGCGCAGGGCTCATGGGAAGGGAATAAAATAATAACAAAGTCAGCACTCACATGTGTAAGTAAATATACATGTGGGCACACATCCACAGAGAGGCCCAAGGTTAATGTCAGGAGTCCTTCTCTATCCCTCTACCTTATTCACCGAGGCAGGATTTCTCAATCAAATTCAAAGCTTACAGATAAAAACTACTCAATGCTAGCTTACTCTGGGGATATCCTGTGTCCATCTTCCAAGGCTGGAATTACAAGCAGGATGCTATGCCCATTGGCATTTATGTGAGTTCTGGGACTCTGAATTGTTATTCTCAGATTTTCAATGTCAAATCCTTAACCACTGAGCTATCTTCCCAGGCTGCTATTCTTTTTAAGTCATGAATCAACATATAACTTGGCTTAGGGATGGTCTTCTAAATTTTCTGTGCCCTCCTCTCTGAGGAGCTATCTCTAAAAATAATATAACAACTAAAACTGTCCTATGATACAAGAAAATGTACAGTTTTAGGATGAAGCATATTCTTTAGGCCAATGAAGAAAAACATTATAAGCCAGAAGTATACTTAAATAACCTATTTGGTACTAAGAACTGAACACAAAGCCTTACACATAAGAGGCAAGCATTCTAGCAAGCTACATTCCCAGCCCACTGATTTTAAATCATTTTATTTATTTGTTTGTTTGTTTGTTTGTTTGTTAGAGTCAGAGGCGAGAGGAAAAACCTTACTCCTTACAGACAATTGCAAAACTTACCTCAAAAATTTACTGTTCCCTTCTCCATCATCATCAAAATCCAGCCTAGGGAAAGGCAACAAAAAAAAACATTGAGTTTATTGATAACATAGAATCTTAAGAAAGTAAAATATATTGATACAAGACATCTATGTGCTCACCTAAATAGAAGGAAGTGGGCAAAAGCAAAACAAATCTCTGATACATGTTTTTCATAGTGTCGTAATTGGACAAAAAAAAAAAAATCAGCCATGGTGGCACATACTTACAATCACCATCCAGAAACTGGGATGAGCATTGAAAGGCCACCCCCAGATACATAGTGAGTTCTAGGCTAGCCTTGGCTACACAATTTGAACCTGTTTCAAAAGCAAAAGGAAGGAGTATGGAGAAAGCTGCAGTAGCACAACTGATCCCTCCAGTGGGATCTGTACACACGAGGCAAGTACCGTAACTAGGAAGAGGTACAAGAGAAGTACAAACAGTTCTCACCACTAAGAGCTTAGCTCAGTTGGTAGAGTGTATGCTATACACATAGAGAAGACACAGCAAGTTGTTAGTCTAAAAATGAAATATATACTATATTCAAAGTCACTGTGCTGTGGCCAGCCTTAGTAACACATACCTTTAACTCAAAGTACTGAGCAAGTAGAAGCAAAAGGATGGTAAATCCAAGGCCAGCTTAAGCTACAAAGCCAGACCCTGTCAGAGAGAGAAGAAAGCAAGAAAGCAAGATCACATGCTCACCAGATATTGTGGGACATGTGATAACTTGTCCCTTGGGAACTTTTCAGCTCAGACAATTGATGGGAGATGCCATTATGTATATACGTTTCTCATACTGGTTAATGAATAAAGCACTGTTGGCCAATAGGAAAGCATGAAAGGTGGGACTAGGAGACAAGAAGGAAAGAGGAAATAGGAAGGAGGAGTCAAGATGGAGAGTCTGGAGAAAGCAGAATGCCGGCCGGCTCCCCAGTAAGAGAAGACCACGTGGAAATACTAGATTAACAGAAATGGGCTAATACTTAAGACAGAGCTAGCCCATAAGAAACTAGTAACTGGCTAACAGCATTATATCTAATACAGAGTCTCAGTGTGTTAATTGGGGCTGGCGCAGTGGTGGGGCAAGACCAGCGGTGGGAGGAAAAACCTTACTCCTTACAGACAATTGCAAATAGAAAACAAAGGGCCAGAGAATTAGCTCAGCAGATTAAGGAACTTGTCACCAAGCCTATAGGCCTGAATTGGATCCCTGGGACCCAAATAGTAAAGAAATAACAACCACAGGCTTTTTTCTTATTTTCTTATCTAAACACACACACAGAGTAAATAAATAAATGTGTGTGTGTGAATGTGTATGTATGTAAGCATGTGTTTATGTATATATGTATGTATGTGAGGACTGGTTGGTTTTCTGAGAGAGGAACTTTCTACATTGTTCTGGCTGATATGGCAATCACTAAGTACACCAGGCTAGCGTCTCCCAAGAGCTGGGATTAAAGACATGTGCCACTACACCCAGATGTAGTGGCAATTGACTATACCCATGGAACACTGGAGGCAGAGGCAGGGAGGAGGATCATGAGCAAGAGGCCAGCTTAGGCTACATGGTGAACTCCAGGCCAACATGGCTACACAGAAGCACTGTCTCAAACTAGGTATGGTGGCCACATGTTTTTGTTTCCAAGGACTTAGGAAGTGGAACCAAGAGGAATAGGAACCCAGGCCAGCTGGGGCCACAGGAAAACTGTATTAAAATAACAAAACCAAACAGACTTTGTTACAAAATAAAAAGCAAACACTTCTTTAAATGTGTTTTTAGTATTGAAGAGACCATCTTTCATGACTTTGAAAAAGTTTTCTTGTGTGTCTTTTGAGGGCATGCACACATGTGAACGCAGGTGCCACAAAGTCCAGAGAGGACACCAGGTCCCCTGTAGCTAGTCATAGATGTCTGTGAGCCACCAAAAGGAGGTGATAGCAACTGAATTCAGGATCTGTTAAAGCAGTATGCACTCTTAACCATTGAGACATCTCTCTGGAACTCAAGATTCACTTCATGTATTTTTTGCAAGAAATGGTGATACAAAACTGTAATCCTAGCATTCAGAAGGAGATCATGAGTCCCAGACCTAGATCTTACTTCAAAAACAAAAACAAAAAACAAGAGGCAACAAGCTAAGAAAACAAGCTCAATGGTAAAGTACTAGTCCAAGAATCCACAAGGCCTTGTGTTTAAGCCCCAACACCCCCCCCAACCACACACACACACACACACACACACACACACACACACACACACACACACAAAATCTAATAGCAAAAAGTGAATGCTTCTAAAGGAACCTTGTATCATCACTTCTAAGCTTAGTATTTTTTTGTGTTTGAGTGTATGATGTATACATGGGCACCATATTCACCTAGAGGTCAGGGACAACTTGCTGGAGTTGGTTTTCCCCTTCTACCTTTATGTGGGTTCTGGGATCAAGCAAAGATAACCAGGCTCACACGAAAGTGCCTTTAGCCAGTGGGCTGCATCACTGGTCCTAAAGCAATAGTTCCATTCTGCTCCTTTTTACATCATATATTTATGTAACAATTTGTAACAGTACCAAAACTGTAACTATTAAGTAGCAACAAAATAATTTTGTTATTGGGGGCCACCTCAACATGAGGAACTGTATTAAAGTGTTGTAACATTAGGTTAGGAAGGCTGAGAACCACTGCCCTAAAACAACCTTCTTAACCTTCTTTCAAGAACTATTTCCAATTGTTACCATCCCAAATTATTCTTTATATGCTTTAAAAAAAAAAAAAAAAAAAAAAACTTTTTTCTGTTGTGTATTTTAGGTAATTGTCTTTATCTTTAGTTTTGTTTTAAGATAGAGTAACCAAGGATGGCCTCATATTCTTCATCCTCCAGACTCAGCCCTATTGAGTATTAGGATTTTAGGTATGAGTCATCATACCTCACCTGTTTTTGCCATATTCTATCTTGCATGGCATATACATATATGTACATATGTATACATGTGTGTGTGAATGTGTATATATGTGTGTATATGTATACATGTATGTGTGAGTGAATGTCTATATATGTGTGTATATACAGATAGTCACACACACAATGACTATCTGAATGTTAGAAACTTGAAAACAAGGGATGTGCCTCACCTACCTTTTAGAGTCTATTAGCTATCACACAATAATGCCACATTCAAATCCTGTACTTAATACTTTTGTAACTAAAAGGACTATGCATTCCAAGCCAAATAAAGTATCAATAAATTAGAAAAGAAGTAAGTTTAACAAAAAGATTTTGAGAATGTAAACACAAGAGCTTCGAGAAAGCCAACAGTTTTCTTTTTGGGGGGTGGAGGACGTTGTTTAAGACAGGGCTTCTTTGTGCAGCACTGGCTGTCCAGGAACTCGCTCTGTAGACCAGGCTGGCCTCCTGCTCACAGAAATCTGCTTGTCCCTGACTCCCAAGTGCTAGGACTAAAGGTGTGCACCACCACTGTCCCCAGCTGGAAACTTTCTTAACAACCATGAAATCATTGGTCTTTCCCAAAGTACTTTACCTTCCAGAGGGTTTTTTGCTTTGCTTTGAGTTTTTTTTTTGGTGTGTGTGTGTGTGTGTGTGTGTGTGTGTGTGTGTGTGTGTGTGTGTGTGTGTGTGTTTGGGTTTTTTTGTTTGTTTTGTTTGTTTGTTTTTGACTGCTTATAAATAAAGATACATCGAAAGAGAAGCTCTCAAGTTCAAAGACCACAAGGGAATGGTAATGCACATCTTTGATCCCAGTACTCTGGATACAGAAGCAGGTGGATTTCTGAGTTCAAGGCCAGCTTGGTCTACAGAGTGAGTTACAGAAGAGCCAGTGCTACACAAAGAAACCCTGTCTTGAAAACAAACAAACAAAAAAAAAAAAAATCAATAGAACAAAATTTTAACCTGCTGTGGTGATATTTTGTTTATGATCTAACAAATAAAGCTAGCCTGAAGATCAGAGTGCAAAGCTAAGTCACTAATTAGCCAGAAACCAGGTGGTGATTTAATCCTTTAATCCCAGCACTGGGGAGACAGAGGCAGACTGATCTCTTAGTTCAAGGCCACCCTGAGCTACACAAAATTGATCCGGTCTAAAAGAGAAACAGCTCACACAAAGGTGATCCCAGCACTTGGGAGTTACACGCTTTTAATCCCAGCGCTAAGGAGGTGGAAACAGGAAGGGATATGGCTGGACAGAGAGAGGATTATAGGGCAGGAGGAGACAGTGCAGTCTAAGGCAGTCAGTCTGAGGCAGTCTGAGCAGTCTAGGCAATCGGTAAGGATTCACGGAGGCAGGATTGCCCACGGAGGCAGGATTGCCCATCTGGTCTAAGGTAGAGGTAAGAGCTAGTGGCTGGCTCTTTTTCTTCTCTAACTTTCAGCTTCCCCCTCCTAATATCTGACTCAGGGTTTTTATTATTGAGACCTATTAGAATTCATGCTACTGCCTGCTTAGACATTTTCATGTGAAATATATAAAAGTAATGTATTAATTAAAGTCAACACGAAGTGTGAAACAACTGATTCTATGAGTGAGGTAAGATGAGAGCAAACTGACAGGAAATAGGCACAACAGCTCCATCTTTTTCCTTATAGCTATAATCTACTCAAATTATATAGACATTTTTAAAAGAAATGTATATAAAATAGCATGCCTACATATGGAAAAATCTAGGGACTAAGAGTTAGCTATGTGACAGCAATGTAGTAAGATCAAAAAGTGAGGTCAGGAATAGAAAAGTAGGAGGAGACTAAATCAAATTGTTTTTACAAGAGAGACACTGATGATATATATTCAAACTTACCCTGATCGTCGCTTAATAGCCCTCTGTACAACAGCTCCTCCACCTTGAATCCCAGGTCCAGGGTTTCCTGAAGCAATGGTGGGACCCAGCGATGGTACATCTGATGTCATTTCTGTCAGGAAATAATAAATATCAATATCCTCAACTATTAACATCAAGACGCTGCCTAAAAACAATACTCATACAGTTAAGCAGGTAAAAGTACTTATTGCTAACTCCAATGACTTTAATTCAATACTTAGCACCCACCCACAAGTGAAGAGAGAACTGACTCATAAGGTTGACTCTGACCTCCACACATGCACTGTGACACCCCACAGCCATATACATACATACATACATACATACATACATACATACATAAATACAATTTAAAAATTAAAAAAAAATAAATGTTCAATCCAAGCATGGGGTGGCAAAAATCTGTGATCCCAGCACTTGGAAGACTGGAGAGAAAAATCAAAAGTTCAAAGTCAGCTGGTCAGTGGTGCCCACGCCTTTTATCCCAGACAGGCAGATTTCTGAGTTCGAGACCAGCCTGCTCTACAGAATGAGTTCCAGAACAATCAGAGCTGTCATACAGAGAACCAACCCTGTCATCTTCCTATACAAGGTGGATCCTATACAAGGTGAATTTAGTGGCCCACATGAAACGCTAACTCAAAAACTCCACCAAAAAAAAAAAAAAAAGAAAAGAAAAGAAAAGAAAAGAAAAACCAAGAGCAACGATGCACACCTTTAATCCCAGCACTTAGGCAGAGACAGGTGGATCCCTGAGTTCCAAGTTAGCTAGGGATATATAAGAAAAACCTTGTCTCAAAACACAAAACAAAAAAAGAAAAGAAAGTTTCAAGCTATAGGTAAAATCTCAATCAGGTATTAGAGGACTCACATATTCTGAACAGACAATTTTAAATACAAAATCATCAAGATTTTAATTTAAAAAAAAATCACTGGTCATACTAAAAATCAGGAAGATCTCAAAGGGAAGGTGTCAGTTAACAGATGCTAACATTAAAATAATACAGATATTAGAATTACCTAACAAAAGTTTTGCAAGTAGCCAACTAAAAGAACATTTGAAACAAATATTTAAAACTCAGCCTTAGCAGCCAGGCCTTGGTGGCACATGCCTTTAATCCCAGCAGAGGCAGGTGGATCTCTGTGAGTTCAAGACTGGTCTACAAGAGCTAGTTTCAGGACAGCCTCCAAAACCACAGAGAAACCCTGTCTCAAAAAACTCAGCCTTAGAAAACAAAGATATACGATATGAAAAAAAAAAAATCAAAAACTAGAAACCCGAGGAATAAAAACTATAAGTGGGCTAAATATGGTGATTCATCCCTATAATGCTTGCACCTGAGAGACAGAGGCAAAAGGATTACATGTCTGAGGTTGAGGTCAACCTATGCTATATAGTTAGTTTAAGGCTAGCATGGACTAACTTCATAGTAAGACTGTGTCAAGTGAAAGGGAAAGACAAGAGTGGACAGGAGAGGAGAAAATAGGGAGTATACATACACACACAAATACGTGTGTATAGATGCATATACAATTCAAATAAAAATGCTTGATGGTCTTATCAATAGTGGACATCAATGGAAATGAGCAAGAGCTATAGAGAAAAACAACTAATCTGAACTGAAAGAAAGCAGGTCGGGGCAAAGACAAACAAAAGAAAAACTACCAGAACTTCAGATATCATGGGACTACAGCAGAGAGATATAAGTGAGTTCCAGAACAGCCAGAGCTGTTACTCAGAGAACCAACCTTGTCTCAAAAACCAAAGAGTTCAAAGTCATCTTCCTTTAGTGACCCACATGAGTCATAAGAGTCATGAAAAGAGATGAAAAAGAAAGCAGGGCTAAGAAATTTGTGGAAAATTCCTAATTTTGACAACAAATGTAAACCTACAGAATCAACAAGGTGCAAAAACTCCAAAAATGAAAGATCCAACGAAACCCATTCTAGCACACATCATAATTACACTTCTGAAAACTCCAAACAGGATGAGTCTAGAAAGATGGCTCAATGGACAAGGGAGCAGCCTGGGGAGCCTGCCCAGAAGCCTGATCACTTGAGTTACATACACAAGTGAAGGAAGGACAGAACCAACTGGGCAAGTTGTCATCTATCTCAATAAACTTGCCAGATGCACACATACACTTGCTCTATAAAAAAAAAAAAAAAAAAAAAAAATGTAAAAAAAATTTTAAAAGAGCCAATGACAGGGGCTTCAAATTAGTTCAAAACTAGCCTTTATCAACAGGTAAGTTGGAGTTAAGGAGAAAGATGACTCAGACAGTAAAGTGTCTTGTCTACAAAAGCTAGTTCCAGGACAGAGGAAACCCTGTCTCAAAAAACAAAACAAAACAAAAAGACTAAAAAGAAAAATAGCTAACTGCATTTTGTACTATTCATTTACTGTCTAGTTTTGTTAGCTTTGGACCAGGAAGGAATAGACAGTTTTGAATGATGTCAATTTATCTTTAAAAATTATTTTAAAATTTGTTTATGTGAGTTCTTGTAGACAAAAGTTTCTCTTCTGCCTCGTCTGGCAGCCATTCAATTCCAAGTAAACACACAGAGGCTTATATTTATTATATGTTGTTTGGCTGATTGCTCAGGCTTCTTTTTTACTAGCTCTGTCTTATTATTAATCCATTTCTATTATTAAGTATTGCCACATGGTCCTGGCTTACTGGAGAATGTCTAGGCATCCTACCTTCCTAGCGACTCTGTGGCTTCTCCTCTCTGCTTTCCTCTCCCTAGAATTCTTCTGTCTGTTAGCCCCACCTGTACTGACTACAAAACTAAACCAAATAATATTAATATTTCCATCTAAGTGTAGAGCTTCTTGTCTATAACTGTAGCACTCAGGAGGATGGCCACAAATCCCGGGCCAGCTTGGACTAAACAGTGAGTACAGTGTGTGACTGTCTCATAAATATATAAATAAATTTGCACCCAAGCCACTCCTGGCTCTGAGAGGACAGTTTGGTGCCATGGTTTTAAACACCCTAGTCCTCTGGTGTGTTCACCTGTCCTCCAAGGTGTCTTTTCTTCCTCTTGCTCTAGTTAAGGGTATGACTTTTTCCTCTTTGTCTTCTTCATATCTCCTTCCTCCTGGCAGTGCTGAGATCTTCAACTTGCCTGCCCTGTTCTTTTCTTACCGACTCTAATAAACAATCCCTTCTGAGTGCATGTTTTTTTTAAAGATTTATTTTTAATTGGAAGGGGAAGAGGTGTGCACATGTGAGTACAGTTGCCTGCTGATGCTAAAGAAGGGTGTCAGATACTCTGTAGTTAAAGTCACAGACAGTTGAGTCACCTGATATGGGTACCTGAAGTGAAGGGAAGCTCCTCTGCTGTAACAATGCATGCTCTTAACACTGAGACATCCCTAGACTCTTGAGTCTTTTATCCATGAGTTCTTGCTAAAGGGACCCACCCTGTGTCACATGGAGCTAGGGGTATGACTCAGCCAGTAGAGTGCTTGCCTAGCATGCTACGGGCCCTGGGTGTATTGATACACTCCTGTAATTCCAGAGACTGGGAGACACTCAAAGGAAAGTAGGACTATAACAGGCTTAGAGGCTATGCCAGATGGGTTCATATCAAATTGACATGACACAAACCAGAGTCTCTGGGAACAGAGAACCTCCACTGAGAAAAATGCCCCACTAGATGGGCATGTGGGCAAGCCTGTGGAGCATTTTCTTAGTGATTGATATGTGAGGGCCCAGCTCACTGTAGGCAATGATGGGCTGGTTGTTCTAGGTGTTAAAAGCAGCAGGCTGAGCAAGCCATGGGAGAAGAAGCAAGTAAGCAGGACTCCTTAGTGGTTTATGCTCTGAATTCCTGCCTCGACTTCCTTCAGTGATAGACTGTGATATGGATATGGAAATAAGCTAAAATACTTTCCTCCACAAGTGTTTTGGTCACAGATGGTGTTTTTATCAAAACACCAGAAACTCTAAGACAGAAGAAAAAGAAAGAAAGCACACACACACATACACACACACCCCCCCAAAAAAAACTGGTTCTTTTAAACAGGTAAATAAAATTGACCCAACCTCCAATAAGAGGAGGAAAAGCCAAATTATAACTGACTCAATATGATAATAAATATAATAGTTCTATAACTAAGAAAACTAAATTCCCAATTTTATACTCCCCCAAAAAGAAATGTTCAGGTCCAGATTATTTTACTATGCATTTAATCAACATGTAAAGAACTAACATCAACTCTACAAAGTCTCTTTCAGAAAATATCTGGTTGTGATATCAAACCCCCACATAATTTTACTGATGAGTCTAGTATTAACCTGATATCAACACAAGACAATCAGTAAAAAAAAAAAAAAAAAAATACACAAAATTATAGACTAATAGTCTTCCTGAAAACATACTAAAATACTTAACAAAAGATTACAAATAGAATTCAGCCACACACAAAGCAGGTATACTGGCACACACATAAAGGCCCAGAACTTGGGAAATTGAGGTGGGAAGATGAGGGAGCCAGACAAAGTAAATACAATGAAAAGTAAGCCAACCTGGTACCTACCTCCGCCCTCCACACTCGCACATATGAGCACACTCATACTAAGAATCAGGAGAACCCTGTCATCCCCTTTTAGACTGGACCGTATGGGTAATGGCTTTGTCAATTTCCCATGGGTCTGAGGCCTCAGACACCTCAACATGGCCATGCCTGTGTCAACAATGCACATTCACTCAGGACTACTTCTGTTCCCCCACACCTGCAGCTCAGTCTATAATACAGCTCTAGCTCCAGGGACCCAACACTTCTATTGACCTCCAAGGGTACCTGTACCAACCAACACACACACACACACACACACACACACATGCACACGCACGCACTCTTAAAAATAAATCTTTAAAAATCAAAGTTACCAGATATGGTGGTGTGTGTCTTTAATACCAACACTCATGAGGAAGAGGCAGAGGAATTTCTTTGAGTCCTAAAGCAGCCTGATGATCAGCATAGCAAGTTCCAAGCCAGGTAGAGCTAGAGTGAGACTTTGTTTCAAAACAAACAGCAAAGCTGAGGGAATTGTGTGTATACACACACATATGTATATG